TGATAACTAGATTTGTAAATCGGTGAACAATACTTCTATTTTAAAGTTATTTTTCACATGGAACCTAAACGCGATGGCTACTAGCGATTCTGAATTTTCTGTCTCATCTCACACATTCTATCTTAATTGTAACACATCGAATGTATCTCAGTATTTCATAATTTTGCACGCTCGGCAACTGTCAAAATCATATATACTTGGTAGATCTGTTTCGATCAATATATGGTTCAGCTCTTGGAAAAAATACCCTTCGATCGTGGCTGGGTATGACCCGTATTCAATCAGAAAGTCACTCGTATAAATATAGTTCATAAAGCAGCGGTAAAAAATAGCAGTTTTTGAGTTCGATTTTTTACACCGATAATGCGATGTAAAAGGAACGTACGAATAATTTTTGAAAATAAATATCCATCGGGTCTACATTGACCAGCCAAGGGTTAATGATATTCGTCTCGATGTCAGTACCAGGTTTAGGCGCAAGGGAACCATAAAAAGGTCAATCCCCTTTATCGTAATAGTACTTGTTAATTTTTGATGGAAATCAACTGCGTTTAACGTATATAACTGCATAGGAAAAGGAAGTAATCAAAGGGTGTGCATATGGAGCGAAAAAAAAAATATAATTCCAAAACCCGGCGGTTGTTCGCCCCGCCTCGAAGCTGGCCTCTCAAGTTCGAACACGAATTTTTTTATCCCACGAAAGAATCAACGTCGATGCTTCCCCGACCACCGGAGGCCATTCGCATCCGTCGACGATCGTTTACGCCATATGGACCCCTTAACGATATAAAACGCGCGGGAGTTCCACCTGTTTCACCTAAGACGGACGGGGCGGAAGGGGCAGGAGGCGGTCGGGTCGTTTTCAAGGGGTTAAATCGATTATCGTTTCCCAGTTGGCGACCTTACCTCCTTCAGGTATACCTACTCGCGCGCGGTAGCCGAGTGAAAAACGGGCGGGCTTTCGGACCGTGTGCTGCCCGGAAATGAATTTGCCGTGTATGGCGCGTTAAATACACGCGCGGGCACACGCACGTAGAAAAGCGCGCGTGCAGAACGTGGCGGATTGCGAATTGCGAGCTCGGTCGCGTCGTGTTGCTATGGGGACGCTTCTTCTGTCCGCACTCGCGGTTCTCGTCTCTGTCTCTCCTCCTCATCCTCCTCATCCTTCTCATCCTCCTGTTCCTCATCCTCCTCCCTTTCTCTCGCTTCTCGCGCCGTAGTTCTCTTGTCCGATGCATATCGCCCCCTTTTCTCCTCGTCTTTCTCACTCTCTTTCCCTTTCTCCTCTCGGCTCTCTTGCGGCTCGCCGGAAAAATGCGTCTTCTCTCGCGGCAGCGCTCCTACATCTGTCGCATCGCCGCGCGCCGGTAGGTACGTTGCGCGCGATTTTAATGATTCAGGAACCAAAGGGAACGTCGCCGATGTCATAGCCACGGAGGAAGTCTTAGGAATACTCTCCGCTCGTCCCTTTGGCGGAACAAGCGCGCGACAAAGAGATCGCGGCAATGATGTCGGATCAGTGAACAGACAACGTGTCCGGAATCCTCGAAATGTTACTTCCAGCTTGGTACTCTTATCCGTACCAAGCAATGGCATTCCCGCGTTGATTTGACGCGGTTTCTTTATAGTCATTTTCAAAAAGATGAGATTTAACGGATTTTGGCAACTTTTTCAAATAAATACTCATTTGTATTTTAATAATGTGGATTTATTGCTTGCAGTGATAAATTACAATATAGATGAGAAAGCCTGAAAATTTTGTAAACATCTAATATTTCCAAATTCTAACACACATATTTACTCAGAAATTCACATTAATTTTAAGAAATAAATATATCTAGTAATAAATTAAAATTAATATAAATATATGTATTAATATACATATAATTTTTTAGATACGTGTATATCGATCTATTTAAGAAATTCACATTTTGAAAAATAAATATATCTGTAAGTATTTTAGCCGAGGTCCTAGCAGATCTCATTAATTATTGCATGGAGTTAAACACGCGCGAAGGACAATGCACATTTTCATTAGGCTCATTTCTAATGAAAATAATTATTCATTAAACTCCTGATACGGATCGGCGACGAAAGTCGATGACGAAGGTTGAAGTTTATTTCGGTAGCAAAAGTACGATAAGATAGAATGACGTTGTTTGCCTTGGTGCCCGCGAATGTATACACTTTCGGCCCCGGGTTTACGTGAATTTGTAAAATTGATTGCGTAATCCAACGATTTCGCAACGTGGCAAATATCGTGCGTGTGACGAGTATCTTTCATCCGTAAAAATATTTCCACCGCGGTATCCACAAATAAAAACAGCTTAAGTCAATCAGTTAGAAAGAATAGTTTATTGATATACGCCCTTTAGTGTGTTACGAACAAGAAAGTAGCTGCGTTTCACGGAAGTAAAACTTATAGTTTCGACCGAGTGCAACGTAGCGTCGGGTGCTAATCCTTCTTTTTCATCGACGGTGCTCGGCAAACTCATTAATGAAAGCTCTAACCATTGCACGCGGCGTCTTCCCGGAACTAACGACGGCTTTGCAGTTTGCATAAATAAAGCGCGGCAAACTTTCCAGGAAACTCAATAATTCTTTCGCCGTCGAAGCGAGCTGCGTCGCGATCTCGCAAAGGCACAACGTTCACTCGTCGTCTGTCGCCACTTTTTTTTATTCCACCAAAAAAAAACGCTTATCTTTCATATTGAGGAAAAAAAGAAGATTGCGCTCGTTCCAGGGCTCTCCACTGCAAAAATAGGCAGCGCAAATAGTGCCGCTTGCGATTTCTTCGCAAGTTCATTCGGCGTGACTGTCGGAACTCACGGCTATCAGGCCGATATCGCCCGGACGTCGAGCGAAGAGAGAGAGAGAGAGAGAGAGAGAGAGAGAGAGAGAAAGGAGACCTCGCGAATTGCAGCACACGCGAATTGGCGGAACGTGAACGACGGGAAAGCTCGCGGTAACTCGCTCGTCGTAATCGCGACGATTTCGTCCGGCCTGGATCGTAATTTGCGCGTGGCGCAGGAGAGGACGAGACACGAGACGGAAAAGGGTATCCCCGCGGTGGGCCCGCCCCTGAGACTCAGTTCATTCACACGGTCGTGTCTCGCTAAATATAATATGGCGGTGACCCCCGGTTCCCCGTTGTCGATCCCCTCGCGCCCCTCTTCCCGAATCACCGTTCTCCCGCGCTCTCTCTCTCTCTCCCTTTCTCTCCCTTTCTCTCGCTTTCTTCCTCTCCCTTTCTCCTCGATATCCCCTGAATTCAACGCCCCTCTGATTACGCGTCGCCCTTTCGCGCCCCCGCACCCCACCCTCCCCCCTCTCACTCCACCGTTTCTCTCTTCCGACCGTGCGCGCTTATACGGCCCTGCCGCCCTTCGGAGGACCCTGCCTGCGTCACGAAGGAACGCAAGATGCATTTCGCCCAGTTGATCCCGCACTTTTTAACAACTCCGATCACGTAACGATATTTAACGCAACACGGCGCGGCGGGCACGTTGCGTTAAATCGATTTAATTCCTTTGTGTATTAATGCCTTATCGGCAATTGGCCTCGTGTAACATTTGTTGCGCACTCGTTCGCGTTGCCGTTATTAAATAAATAAAAATGAGCCGAGGCCGAGCCGGCCAAGCTTGGCAATTGGCCTCGGAGGATCGCGCTAGGAATACGCAACAATTTCCAGCCTGCATGCAGCACACCGAGGGACACGTGAAAAAATTTACTTTCTTCGTATATGTATCCAGACGGGGCTGCGAGATAATAATTTATTTTTCATATTCTTGCCCGACTAGTTTCGCGTCTCGGGGTTCCTCGCCGCGGATCCTGGAGCATCTCTTAAGCATCGTCCACAACGCCCGGTTCTCTCGCTGTCGTCGCTCTCGCCAAAGTATCATTCGCCAAAGCGAGAGGCACATGCGTGTCTAACAACCGTCGCTCGCTTTCCGAGAAATAGAAATGCAAAAGTATCCTTCTCGTCCCGTTTACCGTATCCGGTACGATTATACGCATCCTCGAAATTATTACGCGCGAGTAGCTTGCGTGAGAATAATTTATCCATAAAAGAGATCATGAGCGGACGAATTATTTAAAATTTACAGGCAAAGATTCGCGAAAGATTCGATCCGAATAACCCGCGTCTCTTCGATCTATTAAATTGAACGCGATCCACGGAATGACCGCTAATTAAAAATTGAGATTTTTAATATCGCGAGTTTTGTTCCATAGCGATATTATATATATATATATATACATATATATATATATATTATATATATATATATGTAAAATTTAATTGTTATTATATATAATAATATGAAATATATATATTTGAGGCTGATCAACGCGGAGACGGCGAGCGATTTACTTAACGGAGTCCCGCATCGGAATATCGGCCGGGAATAAAATTCCGCGCGCGCGATCCTCGGCGCGATCGGCCCCTTGGAAACGGCGCCTTACATCCCTTAGGCCCGGAGCAGCGGAGAGAACAGCAGAGGCCATTAAACTGTCTACGAACGAGGATGCAGGGGATTTTTACAACGTCCGAGAGAGCCTATACCTACTCTCCGCGCGCGCGCGCGCTCCTATATTCTTCTTGCTCCTCTTCTTCTCCCCGCTTCTCTTTCTCCGTCTTTCGACCTTTCCTCCTATCTCTCTCCCTTTCTCTCTCCTTCTTCCGCTGGCTTCTTGTTTCTCGTAGGACCCACGGACTTTTTCTTCTACGCCCTTCTGGTCTCCGCGGCGGCGGCCCGGCAACGGCCCAGCAACGGCGTCGCCGAACCGGGACCGAAGGATATCGCCGCGGAGAGAAATTCTTAACGCGACCTTCCCGAATATTCGCAAACCTGGTCGAAAGCTTCCGATGAATCTTCGCGTAACAAGACGTTAGAAATAAGAGCCATAAATGAGGGCGAAAAGAAAAAAGTTTCTTATCCGTTTCGAAATGCGCGGCTTAAAAAAAGAGTTATTAGATCCGGTAACAAGGAACGCTCTAATGATTGCCAAGCGATAATAATTTCAAAGATAACGTTAATACACCCCAGCGCAGCAAACGCCGATCGCTAATGCCGATTTGCATCTCCGCAGGTTCTCGCCGCAGACTCTGGACCGCTGGATCCCCAGGCTCCCCAAGGATTGCTGGACCGTCTGCGCGGATAGATCCCGAGGGACGATAGTAATCGGCTATACTTGATGACACTAACCCGTAGATCCGAACTTGTGGGCTTTTTTATATGCATACCGCAAGCTCCTATCTACCGGTACATGTAGTCAGGCCGGCGTTAAAACTTTTCGACGGATTCCTCCTCCTCCCCCTCCAACGTCATCATCACCATCACCACCACCACCACCGTCAACCACCACCATGACCACCACTACCATCACCACCACCGTCATCATCACCAACCCTCCGTTCCCCCGAATGCTCGCGGCACTTCCGGTTATCAGCGACAGACTTCTTGCCGAGTAATTTCCTCGCACGTGAAAAGGGCACCACCGTTTTGCATCTGCCGACCGTTAAAGCGCGATCGACATGCGTCGTTAAAGTTAAGGGATACTTACTAGTCATCTAAGGAGACGTAACTTTAAACAGTCACCAAACGTGCTGACGTTTGTGCGCTCCGAAAACGAGAAACGCACTTTTTAATACATTGTATAATACATTGTAAAGCGATATTCTTATTGTAAGACGAAGCACATCTATCTCTCCAGAGATCCCGAAAAGACCCGGAGATGAAGACTCCTTCGTGCGACGGGCCATTTTTGTAAAACCAAAAGAGAAGGATTGCGAGTCCATAATTACGATCGACGCGTCAAACAATGTGTATACCTACATTATACAATATTGTATCGACGTTGTTTAATTGCATATGAATATTGTCAATGGATGTAAGTCGCGAATTTCGGACGCACCGAATCGAGCGCGCGAGAGAATTAAGCGTGGAGAGGGAGATGAGGCGAAGCGACCTGTCGAAAAGTCGGTCGGCAGAATTAAGGGCGAAAGGAGAGAAGAACGGCGGATGGAGCGGCGGACGAGGGAGGAGAAGCCCCCGCGACGATGTCTGGGTGAGGTAGTAGGTTGTATAGTAGGGAATGGAAATTCGCGAGATACGAAGTCCACTGTACAACTTGCTAACTTTCCCGGTCGTCGGCGCTGCGACGTTGTTGCTGGCATTGCACGGAACCGCTCCCGAGGAGACTCTCTCGCGAGACCCGCGCCGCGCGTGCGGAAGAAATCTCTCCGCGAAGGAGAGAGAGAGAACAACCTCTTGTTTTATTTTTTCCTTTTTTACGCGAATGTATAAATCGACGGAGCCTTGCGCCTTACTATGAATGCGTACACGTGGTATATTTTCTCTTGATGTAAATGCGTGTGTATGTGTGTGTGTGTGTATATGTGCACGTGTTGTATATGCGTGTGTGAATGCATGCGAGGGGGAGGATAACGTATAATTCGCAATCATTCTCTGCGAATGAGACAAAGCGCGAAAACGATTTCTTCGACGTACGAGAGAAACCCTTTCCGTTTGCGTACTCTCTCTTTGAAGCGTTGTAACTGCATAACGAGTGCAAGAAATGTATTTCTGTTCCTTCATTGGCACTTCCGTTTCTCGTTCTCCAAGCGCGAATCTTAGTAGATCCAGCTAGATTCCGCTCGAGCCAGACTAGAAATCTCGGCGAAAGCGCGACTCGTTGAAACACGACGAAAACAGTTTCCCGGACCTTCACTTTATCGCCGCGATTCTTTCGGGAGATTTTGGGATAATAATAATTCGCGACGCACTGTCCAGGGCAGTGAATTTGCATAAGGTTCTCTTGCAAAAAAGAAAGGGCGGAATGATCGCGGAGCGCGAGGGTGAGATGGAGAGAATGAGTGACGGTGAGCGTGAGAGAGAGAAAGAGAGAGAAAAAAGGGCAATGGCGGGCGGGCTGATTGTAAAGCCTGCCGCGTCGCCGGTTCCCTGAGACCCTAACTTGTGACGTCGCGTCCGATATCTCACAGGCTAGATTCTCTGGTATTGGCGATGAGTGCTGCCTTTTGCCGATCAAAAGTCAGTCCTAGCAACAGAGATACAAACGTCATCGCGTTTCGACAACATGCCGCGCCGCATTCACAATAGCCTGCGTATTTTTTTTCCTTTTTTTTCTTTATGTCTCCGGATTGTTGTGTGATTGAGGGAACGAACGTTTTACTTGACTCTTCATTAGCGTGTGGTTTAAAGGAAACTTGCATCGGTTTCTCTTTCTCCATCGGCCCGAATTTCTTTAGATTCATTTATCTTGTGGAGCTACGAAGAATATCAAAAAGAGGATAAAATTATTATTATATAAATCGCGGGGTGTCTCTCGCTATTAAACACTATACAGATTTCTATCGTGTTCATTAATACTAGATAAAAGATATTTAAAGAGATGCAGTTTCGACGTTGATCTCAAAAGTCATTAACGAAAACCGTTAACGAAAATTTAAATTTAGTTCCACTTCCAACTTTTATAACGTCATAATTAAATGAGGAAGAATTGCTATGATAAAGACAGGATTATGCAAAAAAGATGTACCAACTACATATTGCAATTCTTTGCAAGGCAAATCGTTTATTCGACAACTTTAGTTTACAACATCGTCTTCACATCATTTATCAAAGTGCATTTTATAAAATATTTATACTTTTTCGATGGCCTTGAAATTTTAACACTTAGGGCCGGTTGTTCCAATTTATTGATAAACTAACTAATAGTTAAATCATGTCTATCCTTTTTTTATTTAAAGGAAAAACAAAGACACATATATGATTTAACTATTAGTTAGTTTACCAATAGGTTGGAACAACCGGCCCTTAGAGTGTTAACACATTTATCTCTATGATAAAAAAATATATCAATATTAATGAAATATATTCAACAACTGTATTATATAACTGTTTTTCTCGTATATACAAAGTTCCTTAAATCGACGCGATATCTAGCATGAAAACTATATAATACATTTCTTTAAGTTCTTGGTCATAATCGAAATTGAACCTATCGAATATTTGTATATTTTTATACAAAAACGGGAAAATATATACAATATTATCCGTACTTAAGTCCATAATGATACATAAGTAGCTCATAAAAATCTGCATGTAAATCCATGATACATAAAACTGATATTAAATAATCATCAACATAATCTTCGAGTTGTTTTAATATTAGATTATAATTCACGCACACTTATATACACTACAAAATCTAATGAATACTTCTAATTTAAACTCAAAATCTATTTTTATGTAACCGTCAGTAAATTATATTTGGTAATTTGTTTACGATGTGACGTTACTTGCAAAGTCCCTTATTCATTTGGAAAAAGAATGCAAAGAAATTCAGCTAATGAAAAAATAACGCACACGATATCCAATCAATAAAAGATTATCTCAAAAGATCTGATTGTATCCTGATAAGAAATTTTACTATATTGTACTATGTATATTCTAGTAATATGCATCTGTAGAGCTTTTCCGTATATATGATATTTAAAATAGAAATAATTATACAATATAAAATAATGACAACGCGCAACAGAAGTAACAGAAGCTCACAATGAAATCTATTTTATTATTAGTAGTAATCAAAAATATGGTTTCATCAGAAATATCGTCTTCCTTCCTCAACAAGTTTACTCAGCTCTGCCGCTGAGTAACCCAACAACTGTTTTAAGTCACAAACGAATTTGTAGACAAATCGTTTGCCATGAACTTTAGAAATCATGTCGCCGTCGTAATAATACCGAAGAGCTCTGCTTAGTTTCTCATAATTCATCGACGGCTTATTTTTGCGGGCTCCCCACAATTGCGCCACTGCCTCCGGCTGATTAAGCTTGAATTCTCCTTCAGTCCCTACCCACTGAATCGCGCTTCTATATTCCTTGTCCGTTAATAATTCTAACAAAAATTGCCACAGCTGTATCTGACCGCTATTAACGGTTCGACTAGAACTGGCAATAGTGATCGAAGCCGGATCGACATTCTCCAATGGCACATTAACTAAACGCGCCTGCTGATTTACCGTAGATTTCGGTTTCGTTACTTTCTGACTTCGTGCTTTAATGGACTTCTCTATAATACCTTCGTTGGGTGAATCCGATGCATCTTTTTGTACAACAGCTGCAAGCAAACAGTATAATCGTCGAATAAATAAAATAAAATCCAACATTGATTTGAATTTATCAGATATCTTTAGTGGAGACTGTGTAAATACTATATTTCTTACAAACATACCAACGAATTTGCATTTCCTGAGAAGTTCGAAATGTGTCCAAAACACGTCTCCTGGATCAAGAGGCACTTTTGCATGAAACTCCTCCAGTGTAAGGTTACATAATTGCGCTCCAGTTATATTCCAATCAACCAAACGTAACGATACTAAGTTAAATTGTCTAACAGCCCATTGCAGCCAATGTTTCACATGTGCTTCTGACCAGTCTCTTGGATCATTTGGTATTTTCAATCGTTCCTTTTTTTCCCCCGAAGAAATATATATGCATTTTTTTAGAAAATCATTTTTTAGGACGTTCCGTTTTATATGGTCATAATTTCAGAGATAAATTCAGGACGGTAATTGAAAAAGTTTGTATAAACACACATCTACTTGTTTCTGAAGCAATAGTACATTTTTCAAATCGCTGAAGTTATTGTCCATAAAAAATAAAAATATCTTGTATGAATAAAGCAAACAAAATCATATTTCTTCTACATCGTCCTGATTTACAAAATAAAACACTAATCATATAAGATGTATGTTTCATATATAAAAATTTCAATTACAAAATAAATCAGCATTTTAATTACCTGCTCCTTTTTATACTGCGCATCTATCATCCACTTTATGACGTTCCGTTTGTTTTCCTGAGCGGTAGACACCGGTGCTGCATCACAATAAAAATATTATCTATCACAGTTAAACCGAGAACAAACGTATAGTCATTAATACATACAATTATTTTCCACAACTTCGATGTAATCATCTGCTGGTTTAAGAACGTCCACTATATTGATACGTTTTTGCATCGGCTTTATTTGTACGTTAATCTGAACCAGCCCTTCTCCTTGGACGCATTGATCGACCAAATTCTTATGGCTTTCCAGCTGTTGCGACAAACACACATGAGTTTCAGGCTTAAATAAAGTCATAGCAAATTCGGTTGGACGCACTAGCGCGCATTGGTACATATCAACGTTGTACACCGATCTAATCCAGAAGTAAAATGCAAATATTTTTGATAAAATGCCGAATACACGTTTTATGAAATAGCACAATAAACATTGAGGCTTTTCACGATTCAATACGTTTATATTATACGCATCATTATGTTGATTTGTGTACGACGGCTTTAATGTGCACCAGTGCGCACCAATACCTCCAACTGAATTCTATTAGACCATAGGATGTCCTAGACCTTCCGTGAGAGCCGGCATTTCGATATTAAGGTTTTCATCTCGAAATAAGAGCAGACTCAAGAATTTGCCATTTAGCGGTTGTCACGGAAGTGGAACATTCCGCACAAATATCTTGTCGCTTACCATCTGCGCGTTTTGTAACCAAAACGAGTAATTCTTTAAATCTATGCTGAGCCTGTCTTCCAAAAGGCTCCTTAACGTGGACAAAGGCTCCCTAATGTCCATGTGTTGCATCAACACGCCGTCATTGGAGTAATCGCCGTTCAGGGAGCCCTCCAACGTGAAGTTAGGCTCGACCTCCAAATCGGAACTGTCCTGTTGCAGCTGAGCCATAATATCATCCTCGGATGCTGAGAACATCGTTTCCGGCTCCATCTTTATCTGCCGTATCATAGCGTACTCGGAATCGTCGTCGGTGTCGAAGCTGAACGAGAAACAGAGCGAGATAAATACCACAGAACGGAGTGTGCGGATTTGCAGACTAGGTTATACCTAATAAGGCGAGGAAATTAACTATATCGTTAACCTTTTCTCAGAACTTTTCCGACGCTCCTCCAGATCCATGTTAACCGAACACGTGGGTGACTTGCAATTTAGGCTAATATTCCCAACCACTTTTCGAAGAAAGAACCGTCCGCGTCAGCAATAAACACCCCTCGGACGCTTCCAGATGATTCGCACATACACTTGCGGAGTGCGCAGTGCGGAGTGCGGACGGAAACATAAATCATGAATATGATGTAAGAAGACTTGTGTAGCATTGCGCATATAATGGCAGCCGAAGAATACACCAGCCAATCAAATTTTGGTCCGGAACATCGCGCCACATTCAAATGTAACATATCTGCAGTCTTCTACTGTGGGAGGATCCATGTTCCTTCTCGCATCTCGGACTCTCGGACTTCGGACTAGATTTCGGACCAGTTTCTGATTGGTCAAAGAAAATGATGCTACTGCGCATCCTTGGACTAAAGTTTTCTTACGTGAAATAATAATAATAAGAAATAATAATAATAATAAGAAATAATAATAAGAAAACACCTGTTTTCTTACGTCATGGACGGAAAGATCATGAATCATGTTGTAAAAAATGATAAGATGCCTTTCACGGATCCTAATCCGATTGGAGTGCCACTCGCGATAAGATGCGAAGCATTTGCGAACAAAGAAGCGAGATGGCGATTCTTATTGGCCGTACGAATGTTGGATTTTTTTTTAATTATTAAAGCGATATGCACGTTGGCAAAAGATGTATGTATGTATACGTATGTATATATGTATGTATGTATCATTGGCAATATTGTACATACATTTTGTAATATAAAAAAAAATAATAAAACGTGTATTGATATGATACAAAACACTTGTCATGTATATAAATATTCCTCCATACCCAAGAATGCAGGATTACCGAGAATTTCTACTATTTCAAATTTTGAGAAAATCTAAATTAGTGAAAGTTTATAAATTATCATAACATAATCGATAAAAAGGTTGCACCATCTAAAATTCCAAGAATTTTCTCAGTTTCCGAGAATTTTATCAATTTCCAAAAATTTTATCAACAATTTTGTCAATTTCCAAAAATTTCATTAACAAAAAATTTTGTCAATTTTTTAAAATTTTATTAACAAAGAATTTTGTCAATTTCCAAAAATTTTATCAACATAAAAAATTTTGTCAATTTTTAAAAATTGTATCAACAAAGAAATTTGTCAATTTCCAAAAATTTTATCAACATAAAGAATTTTGTCAGGTTCAAAAATTTTGTCAATTTTTTTAAATTTTATTGACAAAGTATTTTGTCAATTTCCAAAAATTTTATTAACATACAAAATTTTGTCAATTTTTAAAAATTTTATCAACATAAAGAATTGCAATTCTCAAAAATTTTCTGTATATCCAGGGGAATATTCTATACTTTCAAGACGTTAGATCGCAAGCTTTAAAAGTTTTGAAAATGAGTCTTCATGTGTTTAGAAAATCAATATAATGAAAAGAATATAAATATAGAAAGAGAGAAGAAAGGAAGAAAGAAAGGGTAATATAAAGGTAAAATAAATAATACTTCATAGCTCTTTTAAAAATTTTAATTTTATTTTTCTTATTTCATTTACATTACAAATAAGATTGTCGAATCGATAAACAGAAGAACCTGATCGGTAAAGAGATTGCACTATCTAAAATTCCAAAAATATGTTTAATGATTCAATCTGACAAATATTTATTTACAGTTGGTGGTCTCTAATTATAGCTCGCTATTGGATAATAGGAGATATATATACACAACCTAAATGCGTTCTAAAATGTGCTGGTGCTGACAATGTACGATGCAACCCTATATCATATGTCACGTGAACTATAGATTCTCTGTACTATCAGTACTCAGTGTACATACATACATTACAGAACGCACGTGAAGAGTTAAATTTTCCACAATCGATTTCCGACTTTATTTCTCGCAATTCAGAGTATTCAGACTTGGGTTAGTGTTGCATCATCCGACATTGGACACCGCTAAAGTTTCTGATGCTCGCCGTATCCGACACCATCTCTCGACTCCGGTGTCTCCAGTACTCCAGTTAGTCCGGTTGTAGGGGCGGGTGCCAAGGAAGAAGCAGAAGAAGCGTTTATTTCGCGCCGCTCGGCGCTGTTCGACGTCGGACGCGAACGATAAGAAATGACGGCGAGGCGAGGCTGCGCGACACACGTAGCCGATGGGGTTCGCGCGTGCGATGCCTGTATGTAACCGGCTCTCGCGAATCTCTTGCGCTTTCTCGCCGGCTGGAAGTTAACGGACCGTAAACGGGCTGTGCTTATCCTCTCGTGATTCGACGAGCGATCTGTGTGAACCTGTATTCCAAAGGTATTCCTTATTGGATGTGTGTAATGTCGATGAACGATTTAAGGCAACCGTGTTGCGATTTCGATGTTATATCTCTCGTAATGAGGCGCAGCGACGTTGAGTCGACCTACCGTTATCTTTGTTACTTGTTTCAATAAGTGGAAGACCCGATAAATGTCGTTGACACGGCGTGAAGCATCCCTGCGGGCATCGTGGAATCGACAGAACGTGGTTATTCTAAATTAAAATTCTCTTTGCTCACCCGGTACCCCGGGTACTTGCGTAACTTATCTCTTTTCGGTCCAAATCGTTTTTTCACAAATGAGCAAAAATCCAAGTCTCGTCTTGGCATTAGGTTTGTTTGTGTTGCTTGAAATCCGTAAAATTTCTTGCACGTAAAACAAAATATATATTTGAACATTGGAGAGAAAGAGAGAGAGAGAAAGTGAAAATTCCAAGTGCAAACAATGTAAGCAACACAAACAGACCTATGAGAGAATCAGAAATTTATCTCAAAAAAATATAGTTTGCTGATTAGATTCGTGCAGCGTTACGTAGAGTCTAGCTCGACATAATAGTGCAAAGGATTAAAGACCAGTATATGCGAATTTGTAAAAATTATAGCACAATTTCTGCTGGACAATGTAACTACAATGTAATATATTTACATACAAACACTTTTATCTGACTCGTAATGTAATAACTTTTAAAGCATACTAATACAGCTTAACGATCCAATTTATTGTACTTTTTATTCTCTCTTTAACTTTTCGTGAAAAGCAATATAAAATTCTCATCTAAATTATAAACCATAAAAAAGTACAATATGTTTAAGAATGTTGTTGAACATCAAAACTGGTCCTGATGTATCTAATCTTCTCGATCAACAGTTTGCGTAGAAAATGGATTCTTTCGGAGGGGATAGGGAGACTGGCAGGGATGAGAAGATCATGAAACACAGTGTGGGCCGTGGCCATCGCATTTGGATGCAGGAAAACAGTGGAGGACTCAGGCGACCACACGGCGCATCAACCGCTAGTCAATCCAGTACAAGTTAGCATTGTTTTAGTCGCAACACATTTGCACAAGCTTGTCGGCCGTCAGGTTTAAAATAAAACTATTTGTACACAGGATCTGACTCTTCGACGTCTCCAGTGACGTCGCAACATAGTCAGGAAGAAAAGAAATTCGCACTATCGCCGCAAGCTGCAGAATTTGTTCCAAGATCTATGCTTCTTCAGTCCCATTCGTCGCAGTCTCCCCCATCAGAGCCCAACGTATATCTGTCTTCCGTAAGTAATTTATATTCTGATTGGATCTTCACTATATTGGTTACTTTGATCATGAATAATCTGCTGATAGCAACCTACTCACCAATATCCAAAGACTTCAAGATCCGTACAAGACAGAATCACAAGAGCTCGTGAAGAACCACCAAAAGAGTCTGTACCTCCGTTGTTTCGGGATGACAGTAGTCTTGAAGATGCTCTGGAGCAACAGTGCAATATACAAGACTTGGACATAGGAAATTACAATGATTATAGATACGATCAGGATGATGTAAGTAGTGGCAAGGTAAAAGCCTGATCTCTCTTTATTCATAGGAAGCTACATTGTACGCAACATTTATATATATTGTATATCAATAATATTCGAATTAGGAGGAGAAGCAGCAGAATGAAAAGGAAGAAGCTTACAACTTTGAAACCTATGAACATCTCAACAACATTATCAACATTTTAATTATGAATCCTGCCGAGTTCACAAATCTAGTTCCACCATTCATGGATAAGCTTAGATTGAGTGGGAACATGCGCTGTCTGCAGATGGTTGTGACAACCATAATCGAATGGGTATAAAAGTTTCTCTTTCATCTGCGAATACATACTCGTATGTCATTGTAATTTTGTACATGACTCGGTTTATTTGCAAGTGGTTCATCATTTTATTCTCTGCAGTACGCGTTACTAACTTTATATTATTTAAGTCTATTGCAGAAAGTAATTTTCGATATAATGGAGCTCGATTGTGTAAATATTTCGATACCAGCTTAGAAGATTCCAAAGAGCTGTACACGTTTTCCAAAGATCTATTCAGGGACTTGTTGTGCTTCCAGTAAGTCCAAATGCATATGACACATAATCGAAATTGTACGATTTATATACATCTGCGATATTGTTATTGTTAGATGTAAATGGGAGACTGGATTACTCGAATCCGAATGGCTTAAACAGCCCGAAGAGAAACGGGACCAACGGAAGTGTAATGGATTGATATTGTTTTTAGCAGAGTTGGTCGCTCAGATGGATGAATCTTATGCTTTCACTTTAGGGGAACTATTAGTATCGTTTATTACTAGGGTACTGCAAAGACCAGCGTCGACCTCTGTCAAATATATATGCCAGGCGCTTAAAGTAAGTCGTAGATAACAGAAATAGTAATTCTACAATTTTTATCTGTATTCTAATTGCCTTACTTGATATAACGCATAGCTGGCGGGCCACGTGTTGGAGAAGGATAAGAGCAGAAGTAAAGACATGGAAAATATGATGCGGGCGCTAACGGAGCTTGTAAATAACGGGCAGGTTGATACGCACGTAGGAAATATGGTGAACAGCGTTCACGAATTACGAAAGGATTGGGGAAGAAGTACCAGTTGTGATTCGTCTGGGACGAGCAATTCATTATTTAACGACGTGCAGCGACAGTCTGACCAGTTGCGCACGTCTAATTATAATTCTGTACCGTTGAAGATACAGCATCCGGTATCGCAGAAATTACAACTGAACCAACCGGTCATGTACGGTCCTGACGGCCAGATTCTGACCGCGGAGGAAAGTGACTTTCTTGATGCACATGCGAAAGCAGATTTAGACGAAGGGTACGTTATAATTTCATATTTGTACTTTCACAGTAAGATAGGTAATACTTAAAAAAATAATTTTAACAAAAATTCTTGTGTTTGTTACAGGACGTCCGAAGAAGAAGATGATAATTACGACGATGAAATTGCGACTGCTTACGAAGAGTTCTTAAGAGATTCCAAGTGCAAATAAAATTGAAGATGAAGTGAAACACATTCACGCACGAACAAGATTATACTCTGGCTCAAATATCTCGCTATAAATGCAAATATCTTGTTTAAAGGTTTTATGATTTTCAAAGAGATAGAGATTGGATTCAACTACATGACATTAAATATCATATCTGTATCACTAAAGGTAGGACAAAGCCATTGCGTACGCCATCGAGCTATCGGACAAAAATGCACCAAACACGAGCAATTTTAAATTTATAAAGATCCGCCATGTACATAAATAGTAATATCGACATGTGTATGTAGCATGCAGAGTGGTTCACTTTGAAATGGAATGCTTGAATAAATCCATTGCATTTGACGCGAAAAAGGTATTGAGGACAAAGTATATATTCGAAAAAAAAAAAATATAATGCAGAAAAATTTTTTTTTTTTTTAAATTATATTTTTAAAATTTTTAAGGATATATTGTCCCTATCATATATTTTAGCTAAGATTCCAAAGTGTAAAATTATTTTAATGTTCTAATAATTAAAGGCTTTATGATTAAAAAAACGGCTAAAAACTAAATCGGCGCATGTTTTTTTATAACTCGAAAGGAACTTTATTTAAGCGTTCTACTTCTGATGGACAACCCTGTAAATAGATATGTGTTCCATATGGCAAATATATGTGTATTTTGCATTTATTTAAAGTTATAAACGTATATGTATTTGTACGAAGTTTCCTAAATATATAACACGAGTTTTGTATAATTATTGCTTGTATACTTGGAAAGTTTATAACGCTAATTTATTAATTCCATTCGATTTTCTTGACCACTGCAGAACACTTCTTTACAAAAATGTCTTCTGCTTTACAAATGGAATCGAGTTTTTCGATAAATATTTACGCAAAAGCGTCTTATAGGCCAGCTTCCAGAATAAATTGGCATTTACCGAATCGCCTTTTTACATTGATAACTACCAGGAAAACAGATAAAAGAATTTACAAATATGCGAATAATTATGTTTCTCGTTTCGAGATTGCGACATCGAGCCGAGTCCGTTTCCGTTCGCAGAAACGACAATATAAAAACGGGACCGTGCGATCACTCGGGCGGCGTGATGATACTGGCGCATTACCATATTTTATTTGCATACGCGACGTACATTTCTACTTTTTTTTTTATCTTGTACTTTTGTTGTAGATTAGCATATTCTAAGAAGCGTGACGAGAGGAGCACGCTACGGAAACTGCGATCTGCAAGCTGAATGAGCAAGCCGAGATATACCGGATTTACTCCGACTGCGCTCCGTTAGCAGCGGGATCGAGCGTACGTCCGCGAAGATCCATTTTTGGCGCGAAAGGGTTCCGTCGTCGCGGAACTCCGCATACGAAGCTGCAGCGTGGATTACTCATACCTGCTTGTTTTGACCGACCGTATTGTACCGCACGCGAATATGGAATATCATTACGGTCCGTCGTGTGATTCTAGAGTCGGAATGGACGGATATAATTGCGTGCGTGCTCCGATCGCGTTCAGCCATGGGAAACCCGTCTCGCGCGCACGTAATGCTCATCAATTACATTGAAAAAAAAAAGGAATGAAAAAAACGGAATTAAACGCGTCATAAAAACGTAGGCGAAATTTATCGAATACCTTGAGGAATATAATCAGGGCCGTGCGTGGGTGAAGTTCGAAGAGGGGACCGAAGGTCGCGGATGGTGGGGCTGTGGGATCGTCCTCGCGTCATCTACGCGAGATCGTCGCGATCGCGGGTAGTACGCCGTTTAGTCTTCCTCGCGCCGATCGAGCACGAAGTTGCAAGCAGAGGTGGGCATTAATTCGGGTAAATTTTTGATCTAGTTATTCAGATAAAGCTGATTCATGCATTATTCATTGCTCGCGTTACCTGCATCATCGTTGCTCATTATCTGTTGCTCATTATTTCCTATTTGTATTGTACGAATGTGGATGTTTATACTCGAAGATTCTGAGCGAAGATGTTTTTCCCAGTCGCGATGACTGATAACGCGAATCGCCTCTTTCTCTAATTCAAGTAACTAAAATAATCTTTTACTCATCTCCAATTGCAAGAAAGCGAATATATATCTCAAGAGATGTCAAGTGCGAATAAAAATTAAAGATAAAAATTAAAGTGCTGTGCAAAACGCACGTTAACTTTTAGACGTCTATTCGGAAAGTTTTGAAGGTGTTTGGAAGACGTCTTAAGTGGAGAAGAAGCCCATCGCCGGCCTGTATCGCCAGAATTTCATCATTTTTTCGATAGATACATAGATAAATTACATAGATTCATAAATTTCATCGGCTTTTCGATAGATCTTGTATCAGCACAGTGGCAAAATGTTGTACTCGCAAGCCGCAGCCTTGCTCCTGCTTCTGTTCAGCACGGTGGTGGACGGCAGCCACTACGTCCAGTACGTTCAGTCGCGAGTACTCGCGTCTGGTAAGTTCTCTGTGTGCTTCGTTATTACGCAAAAAAAAAAAAAAACCGAAGCGTGCTCGCTGAATCATCCGACCCTCGTCTTCCGCAGGCGGTTGCGACAGCTACACGTGCGGCGTCAACGCGAGATGTACGATGAGCGAGGGACGGCCGGTGTGCTCGTGCTTGAATCTACATATGGGAGACCCGCTCGCGCGGTGCGTACGAGTCGAATGCATAAGTGAGTAAAACGATCCGCGATCATTATGTAATTCCTAGAAGAGCAAACTCTTGTTAATTAAGTCGAATTAAGTCGAATCGGAATTATACACCTGATGCGGCAGTTCTTGAGTTTCCACAAATTAGTGCACGCTAATTAGCATCCTCGTCGCGTTTCAGTCAACGAAGATTGCCCGTACAACAGGGTGTGCACGAGCAATAGGTGCGTCGATCCCTGCGTGGGACTGTGTGGAGTAAATGCGAACTGTTTGACCAGAAATCACATAGGTACCTGCGAGTGTATACCAGGCCACGTCGGAGATCCGTTCTCGGGTTGTCAAGTCGCTGACCCCCGTACGTAAAACCTCGCCGTTTAATCTAGACAACCAGGAATGTCTAAAAGACAGACGTTTAAAGATTTTCCTAATGTTCCTGATGCTTTGAAGAAGACTGTGTAAGACTTCGAAACGTTCTGCGTATATTTAAGAGTTGTTAAACCGTTTTGAATTTATCATCTCTCGATTTCTCGTTTATTGGCCCTGAACTTCCTACGTTGCTTCTGATGCTTTTTAGTCGTCTTTTACGTCTTTTAGATATTCCTATCTCTCTTTCTCTCTTGTTTAAATGTAAATAATAATTCATAGACCTCCCTCTTATTTCTTTTTACTATTGAAAATGTGTTACAAGTTATCAAAAATATTCGATGAATGTAGAAGCCGCTTGTAAGCCGAGTCCGTGTGGGGTGAATACCCAGTGCGAGGTGATCAACGAGATACCGGTCTGCACGTGTCTACCGGGTTACAGAGGCTCACCCTTGGCCGGATGTCGTCACGAGTGCGAGAGCGACGGCGAGTGTCCTCCGCACCTCGCCTGCTCGTCGTCGTACAGATGCGAGAGCCCGTGCAAGTGCGGCGAGAACGCGGAGTGCGAGGTCGTCAATCATCGTGCGCAATGTAGCTGCCCGAAAGTAAGACGCCTCCGCTTTGTCCATGGAAAATTTATGGGTTTTCTTTTTATAAGGATACAAGTCTGACTAAGCGTTCCGAACGACGGTGACGAAACGAAGCGACGTGTGGGAATCAATCTGTTTGTTCCGTGTTCTAGACATGGCTAGGAAACCCGCTCGTCGCGTGTCGACCGGAGTGCACCGCCCACTCCGAATGCCCGACGCACAAGCCTGCCTGCCTCTATCAGAAATGCGTGAATCCCTGCGACGGCGTATGCGGCGTACACGCCGACTGCAACCTACGCGGCATCACTCCCGTTTGCAGTTGTCCGAAACACATGACCGGCAATCCTTTCGTCAGCTGCAGACTGTTCGAACCGCGTAAGTGGAGATCGATATAACGATCGTTATAATTAGCCAGAGTCGTATTCATCTTGTGGCTCGTCAGTTTAATTCCTGACGAATTCAAGAAGAAGACGGAGACAATTATCTCAAAATCGTATCTCTATTTTCAGGCGATCTCTGCGAGCCGAATCCCTGCGGCGTTAACGCGGTTTGCACGCCGGGCCACGACAATACCGGGAAGGAGAGGCCGGTGTGCACGTGTCCTACCGGCTACATCGGTAACGCCTTGACGAGCTGTCAGCGCGGGGAGTGCTTCACCGACAATGAATGCCCCGACAATCGGGCGTGTATCGATTTCACGTGCAGGAACCCATGCACCGGCCACGAATGTGGCTCGAGTGCCACGTGCACGCCCCGACGTCACATCGCGGTCTGTACGTGCCCGCAGGGGACCAGAGGCGATGCCCTGTACACCTGTAATCCGATCGAGAGTAAATCGGTGTACAATTACGGCCGCGCCTACCGTTACCGTTACCACTAGTCACGCGCAAAATCGAACCGATCCCACGTTTCAAATACTCAACGTTTTAATACCGCGTTTTAATTTCTATTCCAATTTCTATTCGACAACAAACTTTCACGAACAAATATACCGCCTATTCCTTACGCAGGTCGTGTAACAGAGTAATATATATTTTTGTAACGCTACGCTGATAATGTCTTCCAAATCGTGTTCACCATAGATATCACGCAAAGTGTTCTGTATGTTTTATAAGCTGCGGCTGGTCGCAAATCTAATTTCGATCCTTAATAAAAATAAAAGTATAATACGATTTATGCCGCAGTATCAAGATACATTTTTTCCTGCCTATTTTATTTTTATTCCACATGCAGCTATACGCAAGTTTGTCTGGATAGACCCTTAGTCTCATAGCAATGAGAAAGAAAGAAACAGATGTAACGTTGTAATGTTACTTATGAAGATTCAAAATACATTATCTGGTTAAACAATAATGTTTATTGAATAATTTAACATTATTTATATATTTAGTAAGGAGTGCAAATTCATAGTTATAAAACTAGTTGAGAAATTTACGAAAAATCACTTGCCGCTATTAAAAAATAAATGATTACAATCTTCTCTTAAATATTATGTATAATTATACAATATGCCGTGACTGTTAAAAAAGAATCACGCTATATAAATATTAATTATAATTATTGGCAGCACCATTATGCGAATTATTAATGTTGAAACGGACGTTCAACGTTCAAGTGTTCAAGGGGGTTCTTCAGAAATATCTTATTTACAAGTGTATACATGATGATTTTTAATTATATATCAATAGTGTGTATTAGCATATCATTTATTATAAGTATATTATTTCATTTAAAATTATACTTTAAGATATCTATACTTATTATGATACGTCCTTTCAGACTTCACATAATAATAAACGAAAAAATAGTCAGTCATAGACATATACAGTGGCAATTTCGTTATCTATATAAAAGTATAATAAATGAAAAATAAATATATCATATCTCATTAATATGTATATTGAATAATTGAAATAATTAAAATTATATTATATATTATATATATCAACATATAACTAAAAATCATCCTGTATATTAAGAACATAGATCTCTCCTATTATTACAATTATCTTAGCCTTCTATAATATTAACAAATCGTAGGTAATTTTCGATCTCATATACGCTCGTACTTTTTCGCCTATTATATTCAATAACGCAGTTATCACTACAATTATCACTCGTATAAAATGAAAATTTATACGAAAAAATATTTCTTTCAATCAAGTGAAAGAAGAGATTAAGATATATATTTTTGAATGAATATATAAAATGAGCCCGCAGTATAAAAAAATAAAACAATGAAAATGATTTAAATAAATAAGTATAATAAAAATACAAAGGGGAATGGAATATTATTTAAATACGTGGTTAATTATGCGCCGCTCTTTTGCCATTCATATAACCGATCCATCGTTCCGCGGTCGTAATAAAAATAGGATCGTTGTCTATAGAATTGAGAAGAAGAAGTTGATTAATGTGAGTAGAATGATAATCCCACCTGGCTAAGTTAGGTGCTGTCTTTAATGTAAAATGACGTAGATCGTACGTCGTACCTGAACCAGTATCGTATAACGTTAACATGTTCTTCAACGATATCATACCCTGATTAAAGAGTCTAGTCGCTTCCTCCGCGTCCTTACCCGTCGCTATGCTTTTCAGATCGTAGAGTCCGATAAGCGAATAAATAAAACCATTGAGAATAAAAGAAGAGGGGGTAGTGGGATATTCCTCGTACCAGACATATTTGCCTAGGAACAGCGCAGCCACCCCTCCTTTAGCGGATGTCAGTCTGAAAGGTCGCAAGCCTCTGATAGCGGCCTGTAAGTATTTCGCCTCGCCGGAATGATAATATGCTCGTGCTAGCACTGATATCGCGTGACCTTGGCCCATACTGGAATACCTGTAACCATATTTTTCTCTTGTAAAATCAGCTCCACGAGTTAACTTTGTTCCATTCCATTCCGTTACATGTACAGGTAACCCTCGAATAACACGATCAATTGGTTCCATGTTATTGAAAATCGTGTTATTCGAGACTTTTACATACAATTTTGGAGATCGCGTTCCGTGCTACTGAAAACCGTGCAACTCAAGACTCCAGATCCATATAAAATTGGGCATTTGGTTCCAAGGGATTATAAAAAAAAAAAAACTTTTAAAAAGTAGGGTTGTCACAATTTTTTACCGTGCAATTCAAATACCGTGTTACTCGAGGGTCACCTGTATATATATGTGCCATAACGATACCATCCAGGTTCAAGTATAGCCATTCCAGGTGCTACTTTTCTCCTGACAGGATTCGGCCAGCCACCAGAGGTGATGTTCTGATTAGCGACAAACCATCTTGCCGCATCATAAAATTGCTCCATGTGCTCACTAGTCGATAATGTCATATTGTCAATCATACCGGAGCCGTATAAGGTAATTTTAACTACCTAAAACGTGCATGATTTGTATTTTAAAATTTTTTCAAAAAATAATTCTCCAAGATACTCGTATGAAGTTATCGTTTGAACGGCCGTTTACCTTTAATTTGGACCGGGGCAATTTCTTCCTACTTTTATCATTCAAATAAAGACCTTTTTGTAGGTCAACTACGAGATCTCTAGTAAGACGTCTCCATTGATGATTAGCTTGCCCGATTCCATAGTGTACATGATTGTTATAATTATACAGTACTATATTGTTGGTAACATAGTGAAGGTAGTACAGCTCTTTCTTCTCCCTCGACTGTAACGTAACCGTGACACTTCCATTGTCTTTAATATTAAGATCCCATTTCAATACAAAGTCTAACACGTGATCCAAGTTCAAGGAAATCCCCGACGTGCTCGTTTCCGGCGTAGCGAACTTTAGGACGTAACTATTAGCTTGCTTGTCGTACACTCTGTTCATAACCGATCCTTGAGGAACGTTCCAGTTCTGCTTAACTTTATCGGAATCCTCAATGATCTTCCTGTGTGGCTCGGGCTCGGTTAGGTTCTTACTGTAATGCGATAATCCAAATTGAGCAATTTGCGTGGGATAATAATATCCCTGGCTCTCCCATTGCGTCGATATCGGCACACCGTCGGTGCCGCTGATACATTTAACTCTATCCCTGACTTCGACGTTGTAATTTTCGAAGGTCATGAATACGCCTCGGGGGTCATACTTTCCCTTGGGATTTACAAACTTTGAATAACTATGCAGCCATTCGAATCTCTCCAGACCGTCGTAAGTGGCTAGTTTTCCATAAATCTAAAATATTGTACATGAAAGTTATTGTAATACCTATGGCATAATATGATCTAACGACAGCATCGGCTCAACTGACCTCAAAATATTTATGGATAAATGAAAACGGTATGTATACTTCGTCGCCTTCCTTGCGACATCCTACAGAGTAATCGCCGTTTATATGACAATCTATCTCTTGGTATCCCGATTCTGTATTCAAACGATCCTGTATTGAAACATATGACGTATAAAAATATGCACTATCTCGGAGTTAATGTGAATTAATATGTTCAAATCTCACTCTCTCGCTATTACATAACAATGTAGATATAAGTCATATAGTCTATCTTGCCTTATGTTGATACTTTGTCGTTTGGAACAACAGACTTCCACAATTGTTCCATGAAACGAGTAAAAAGGTCAGTGCCGCGACAACCAATACAAGCAGGGTTGTCTTGAAGTTCAATCGCATCATCATACAAAACCTATCGATAACAGATAAACGATCACACGCATAAATATTCCAATCGAATCATACATGACAACAGATGTGACATAGTCATCGATTAAAATCTAATGTTTAAAATTAACGTAGTAAACTTACGCGACACGGATGTCACGAGCGGTTCGTCATCTTACAATTTCATCTTTAAAGAGCCTTCAAGGTCCACGCCATCTCATCCTTCCTGGAGATTGTTTCTCCGGACACATGAATATCAATCAGCTGTCGCCTACCGACGGTGAGACTTCAGATAAGATACAACAAACATCCTCTTGGATGCCTAATAAACTCGCGTCAAGCGTCGAGCTTTCGCCGTCAATTCGCCAAGTCTTTCGATAGCTAAGCCACCTGCCTGCAGCTGCACCTCCGAAGCGCAGCGTGTGATGCATGGAAACATTTCCTCGCGGCCGTCATCGCCGCACGGAGACCGAATGGCTGCAAAATTACATCAGTAGTGAGATATACTTTCTGCAACTGTGGTGGGTGACTGAAATCAATTCCAAGTGCACATATAATAAATGAAAGAAAATCATTATATTCAAATATGTATAAATATATGTCCCTGCTAAATCTGACAATGATTAAGCCTCTCAGAAGGCAAGTTGATCGACTCCACAACAAAAAGCAGGGAAAATTGAAGAGATTGCGAACTCAGTATAGAAACAGAAAAATTTACAAACAGTAAAATTGACTAATCTGGCTTCTAAAAAACAAACAGCTCGTACTTGTACGACCTTGACTAGATTAATCAGTGACTAATTGCTCGAGGAAAGAGTTCCAACTACACAATTCGTCGCCTAATCTTATCACACCCACTGTGTTAAAATTAATTCTATCCATATTGACAAAATAGTACAAGTATCGACGAGTTAATCGACAATTAAGTTTGTCGGAATTAGGGTCAAAGGCACCCCGAGACCTTCCGCGTTTCCGCGAAGCCTCGGGTCGTTGATCGGCGATTACCGGCGATCGGACGAGGAAGGCGCTTCGTGCAGGTCCATGTGAGTCTTCCTAAGCTGTGCAACCCGCGAGTCTCAACGTCCTCGTTCTGCCTCGCTCCGTTGAGGATCCCGTCAGCCCGTCCCTCCTGGGACAGTGCGCGACGCACTACGCAGCCCAACGGTGCCGCAGTTCGCGGTATCGCGGTTGCAACATATGATTGCGAGTTCCGGGGAGCAAGTGGCGTACTCTCGGGGGTACCCTCGGTCGTCGGTCGCTCCTCTCGGTGCGCGTGCGCACGTCCCTTTGACGGTCGACGGCTTCGGCACGTGGACACGTGCATTTGTATTGGGTTGGGGAGTGATTAGGGACTGCTTCTCCGGTGGCGAGAGGTGGTGTACGGATACATCGTCCGGGTGCGACGAAAAGAGAAGATTTACAGCCCGTCAACCATGAGTCGGAAAAAATTCGACATTTTCGTGGGCGCGACGACCGGCGCCGTCAAAGGTAATCCCGCGCGGATCTTGTGTGTAGCTCCGTTCCGCGATGTCGCGTGTCAATTTGTAGGTTATGTAATCCGCGAAATGTAAATTGTAGGAATAAAAGTCGGAGCGACGAAGAAGGAGACCAGAGTAAAGAATTTGCTGAACCTGTCGCTTATGACGAAGGACGACCGGGTGAGCAGGATCGCGTGGGGCGACGACGACGAAGGGGAGATTCTGGTTGCCTGCGGCAAGGCAGAGAGAAGGTGACGTTCTACATTTTTAACGGCGTAGAAAGCTTCTTTTACCTCCACCGCGAGAACAGATATGATTTTGTGTGACAAAAATATCGTTTCGTACAATGAAATATGAGAGAAGCAAACGCTGGTTAAATGTAAACACGAAACTCGACTCGTCGAGTCATCTCTTGACTCTCTCATTTAGCGATAAAATATGGTTTTTATAATAATGTTATATGTCAAATTGTGATCTTCATATATTAAAACTAACAAAGTATGATTTTTATATGATAAATGCAATTGGTGATAATTGCATCAATTTCTTACAGGGTGAAGATCTTTGACGCGGACAGCGGAATACTCACACATACGTTTTCTTGCAACATGGGCAGCGGATCCATCATCGGAATATCGCGATACAACGGGTAAAATGATCTTGACGCGAAACGAGCGCGTTCCACATGCTAGTGCGCACATCGATGTTGCTTAATAAAAGCGGTCTACGATTTTATCTCAGGCTTGTCTTGACATCGGTCGAATCCGGGATAGTAAGCCTGTGGTCATCCGCCAGTGGAAAAGGACAGGAATTGGTGAACGCCGGAAAGAACTTGACCAGTATGTGCCACTCGCGTGTGCACACGAACTTGATAGCGACCGGAGGTAATGAAAACAAAGTGAAATTGTACAACCTGGAGAAGCAAAAGCTGGTATTCGTTGAAAAGGATCTTCCACACGACTGGTTGAATTTAAAGAGACCCGTTTGGACATCGGACGTGAGTTTCTTGCCGGGAACCCAACAGATAGTCTCAGTCAGTAGGAACGGGCATGTAAGAATCAATTTTTTCCTTTGTGAAATTAGTCTTACGCATTTTTTACAATCGTGAAACGTACAATCGTACAACTGATCCATGTATAAATGTCAAAGATACACCTGTTCGATCCACGCGCCCAAAGACGTCCTGTGGTGAAAATGATGGCGCCGGATGACACTTGGACCAGCTTAACTACCCCGCCCAAAGAAAGGTAAGACTGGTGCACGCGTATAAAGCTATTTGGATGCTTTAAAACGTCATTTAAAATACTATAACTCTAATGCATTTATGTACCATAATATTATTTCATTTCGTCGTATCTTTATGTTAAAGACACATTATAGTTGGCTCAAATATGGGTAGGATGAATCTCATCGATCTGAGAAAGACAGGCACCGTATTAAACACGTACAAAGAATTCATCGGTGGTATAACTGGAATAAGTTGTAGTACGACCAATCCGTACGTCGCGAGTACCAGTTTCGATAGATATTTGCGGATGCACAATATCGATACGAAAGAAATTCTCAAAGGGGTAAAGTCCTGACTTCTAGTTTTCCGAAATATCACGGCGTTTGAAGTAAATGTCTAATTCATTTTATCGTTGCAGATTTATTTAACATCGAGATTAACGTGTCTAATAATGAGATCGGATACCACTATAGAAAGAGGATATGAGGATGGCACGGAGGCTTAGAATATTAATTATGTTTATGCAACAAGTGCATGGAAAGTGCCCCATTACGCACGCTACGGGTGCGTGATAGACCACTTTCCAGGCACTTGCAACATAAAATAGGGAGTGTAAGTCGTGTGTAAAGATGAAAATTCCCGGGTGCGGAGTTTACGCACCCGGGAATTTTCATCTTACCTCACTTGTTACACAAATAACTATTTATGAATAAAATGTTTTATATGAATAAAAATATGTTAGACAATTTCTTAAGGACGTATAGTGTAAAAGTTTGCTGTAACTTTCTACTTTTCTTCAGTTTCCTCACATTTCTTCGGTATTATCAATCCTGCAATTTATCATTTGAGACGCGTCATTTCTGCCTAGGTCGTTTATTTTTCTTGACAAAGTTTTGTGATCAGAAAAAACTATGGTGTTAAGTATCTAGAAGCTTAAAAAAAGGCAATGTAAAAAATAGCACTTAATAAAAAAATAGTATTTCTATTAATCTATTTGTATTTTATTAATCTATTAATAAAACTATTAATATATTAATGTTATGAAAAATTAATAAAATTTCTAAAAAATTAACAAAAATAATGTTTCGAAAAATTTAACATTCTAACTTATTAAATGATGGATAGATGGTATTCATGAGCCCATCTTTAAAAAAAAGATGACATCCAAGATATGACGGAGAGAAATCTAGGCAATCATTAAATAAAACATTTCTATCATAGTATAATTTTTTTTACTCGACAAGCTGTTCTCTCGTTTTAAATATTGAAAAAGGGACAACAAAGGTGAAGGGGTAATAGGGGTAGTACGCTAACGGCGCTCTGTTATGACTACGCGTAATGCATATGCATTTATATTATTTATTGTACAGTTTATTTATCATTTAATACCGCATCTCGATAGAGCTTGTATTTTGGTTCTTGGATTCAGCGCGCACAGAATTCAATCGCTCACCTCCCCTCTCAAACTCGTCTCTCTAATACTATGTAGAACGAAGAGAGAAGCTAAATATAATTCTTCGACAATCTCTACTGTGCTCTCAACAAGTAACAAGTTATGTCGAAGCCAAGTGCGCGGTACACGCTGCGGTATGTTACAGCGTAATCTTTAGTATCTTTAAGTAGAAGAGAGTGGAACGTGGCAACTCGCAACGATCGCAACGCATTTTGTACTAAAAAGAAAAGAAACAACGCGTTCGCGCGCCTACAGCACATTAAATATTACTTTTCAGCTGTACAAAAATCTTCGTCCACACTACGCCTCCCGTTAATTAATACTAAATGTTTAGCTTTGTCTTATCCCGACTGCGCTTACATCTCAGATAGTATATTTATATACGCGTATTCCAATGAACGTATCTAGGAATACATTTGCTACATTTACAGGCACTATTCCCTTCAAAATCGAGTAATTACCGTCACCTGCGTTTCTACGTGAAAGGAAAAGAGTTAAGATCTGCGCGTCAAACGTTTTCGAATTTATACTCCAACTGAAAGCCAATTTACGTAACTCTAAGTAAAACTTTTCTGGTTGATACTCATCCTCAACAACTTGATTACGTGGAATCGCTTTGGAAAAATATCTCGAGTCGTAATTTTACAGGAATGTTTCGATCCATTAAAAGGAACTTCCTTTTTAGTGTAAAACGATGCTATACAAATTCCCTCAAAACTCCATCATATTATAATTTGCGTTACCTTCACAATACGACGCGAGTAATAATTGCAATTGGATTTATACAATAATACGCAGTTTCGCTTGCTATCTCTACACACAGAGAACTCGACGTACTTGCCAATGAAAGTAAAATCAATGTCATACGTACCGTGGATAAAGCAATTAATCGCTCGAAGTATTTTTGTTCAATAAGTCATCAGTATTCTCTTGAGACGGTTCGCGATACAATTATAAAATCTTATTTCGGTATCAATGGATGCTATATCAGTCCGCGTATCGTCAGTGAGAATTATACAATGTATAGAATTAAGAATTTGGTCAGATATCACATTAAAACTCGAGTATTTTTATCCGATTTACCGAATAATCTTAATAATCGAGTATATCACTTCGATTCTTTCAATTTTAACTTGTTATTTACGGACACAAATGTAGAAGAATTTTGTGTGTGTGTCTCTCGTAAATATTCACGAAAAACTATAGTCGTATCGTAATAGAAAATTATTTTAGTAAATTACTTTAGTATGGGGAATGCGATCCTGTCTTATTGTTTCAAGAGAGAGTTTTGTGAATGTTATGATCTTTTAGTATAAAAGCCAAAAAGGTTGAAGAAGCTTTTTGTACAGAGCAGTCGCTTTACTCTTCGACATTTGCGTGACTCTGACGATACATTGAAAATGATATATCAAAAAGAGGACAGAAGAGAGGCAATCCTTCGGGTGTTACAGATATAATCCGAAATAATTTGTGCTTTAACAATACGTGTTAACAATATACAGGTTGATATACTCGACGATGTCATTTCTACATAAAACTTAAAAGCACCATGTCCATTCACGTATAGAGTGGTGTTAAAATGGATCTACTTATTATGCAAGATCAGTAATTAAGATTAGGTATCTCTAATGCATCTTTCCGGTAGAAATAAAAGAAAAAAAAAGCGGTTTTCACAAACGAGTATGTAAAATCTCAAAGAGACGTTTAATTAGATCGGTGACATATCATGCGTTTAGAAAAAAAAATGTGAAAGGCCTCACGCGTACGAGGACAGGCGTTCGTTTTTGTCGATCGCGGAATACTCGACAACTATTTTTTTTTTAACCTCATATATCCTAATTTATACACAAGATCAAAACGAATATCTACGTTCTCCATTTCACGAAGGGTGAATAACACAATTCGCACAAAGAATAATATAATCATGATTAAGTTGCGACTTCTTTACCTCCAAGACTTTGTCGTACCTCTAAAACTCGGTTCTTTCGAAATTCATCCTTTCTTTCCCATTGCTCGATTGTAGAAGGGCGCGGAGAATCGCAATTCTGAGCAAATAATGGCGCAGCTACCTACGGTCCTTGGCGAAAAGCTCGAACGTCTAATGTGTAGCATGTCTGTGTAGCATTTGTACCATAAAAAATTAAGCTTAAGTGATTTTATACACTATACAGAGCATCGTGTTTGTTATATCATAACGTCGCGTTCAGCGAATTCCTCTGTTACGCTATCGCGCCACGTCTAACTTCTCCGATAAAAACGGGCATCTCGTGTATCTCCCCTGCCCTCCCCTCTTCCGTGGCGCGTGCCACCGATCAACTTGCGTACTCGCGAAGAACCGCAAGCGATAACAACAAAGGATGTACAAATATGCAGTCGTTATTCGTTCGCCGCTGCGATTAAAAGCGACGTCAATTCAGTTCGAAGTTCTAATCCGTGCGTGGCGGCACGTGAAAACGGCGACGTCTCATTCCCCGCCCGAGACGCCCGAGACACAAATGTTTATCACGTCCCGCCACGTCGCCTCTTGAGTCTGATTCACTAGCGTCGACTGAGGTTCCGAGATGTCCGACGTTACTGGGCTTAGCGGTGGACTAGGTGTCGCCGGCGCTTCCTCGGACTGATTGCGATCCGTCGCCTCCGCGGCGTCCTGCTCGGTTTCGCCGTCGGCGAGCGACGTTTCCGATTGCGCGGAGCTGGGAGCCTTCGACAGCAGAGAATCTTGTGCTCGCAACGATATAGAACTACCTTTATTGCTACTGCCATCCTCACCTGAAACCAACGAGCAGAGACATTAATGTGACGGTCTACGAAAAAGATGTTTTTGCTCCAGAAATTGAAACGTGTGCCGTATTTTACTATACCAAGATTAAAGAATTTGATTTTACTATAAGAATAACGTTACACACTTTACAAAGAAAAATGTTACAAAAAAAACCTATAAAGTTGCAACGTAAAAAGGTAGAAAATAAACTTCTTAATACGACGTATTTTAAAAGTTAATTGTAAGTGAACCGAAGGTAATTAGTTATCAATCAAGAATGTTAAAAAAATGGTTTTACTTACCACAAGGCCTAAGAACGAGGTAGAAGAGCAGATCGGATAGGGATATTATACCGATCACTTTATCATCATCGTCGATCACTACTAGCCTATGAACCTAAAAATATACGAGACAAAAATATATCAATTCCACTTTCGTAGACAGGAAGATTATGCTCAATTTAGAGAAATGATCTCCCTACCTCCGCTCTGACAATCCTTTCCATTATAGTGAACAATGTCTCATCTAATTTGCAACTCTGAACGCCTTCGAACCATTCATTGCGGTGTTCATTTGCTTCGCGCAGTGAAACGTCTAGATTATTGTATGTTTTTTCCGCCGCCAAGTTCTGAAACAGCAATATATTTAAACGTTAGCGCGCGTAACACTAACATCTCTTTGCAGACAATTTGACAAAAATGTTACTTACAATGACATCAAACTTTGAATAGATGTTCACTAACTTTCCCTCGGAGTCGACAATCGGCAATGCCGACACTCTCCTTTCCACGAATTTTTTCAGCGCTAAAATTATGCTAGTTTCCTCCGTAGCTGTTTCTATATTCTCAAAAGTGCCTATCCTCAACTCTCTCAGCGTTTTGTTGGTGAAAGATGGTTTCGGTAACTCGTGAATCTGTCAAATCGCAATTAGATTAAAATAGATTCGCGCCAGTGGACTGCCATTTATTCAGATAGAGAGATACGCATACTCACATATAGGAAAAGAAACCTAAGTATTCGCTTATGCGTCAAGATATAAAGGACGTTTCCGGTATCGAGATCTATCACAGGCAATCGGTGGATTCTGTTTTGTATTAAGGTCCTGATAGCCTCGTACAGCGACGCATCCGGCCCGATGCTTACAAGAGGGTTGACTTGATCCTTCAGGACTTCTGGAAATCAATAATTTCTTGGATGTAATTCCCCTCGGTAAGTAACGGTAAGACTCCTATTGTTACGTGTCCGGTAGACGGGCTGCAGTTTAATTATTCTATTCGCGCGCGGCAATAAGCCGCGAAGAAGAAAAAGAGGTACTTACTTCTCCACGTATCTAGTTCGTGCTCTTCTAACTCGTCCATTGTCACCAACGGACTGGTATAATACATCTGCAGTATCTTTATGAAATCCGTTATAGTCAGCATGCCAACAAACTGTTGCCGAGAACTGTCCCACAACGGCGCGGCCCTCACCCCTGAAAGATATCCTCGTTATTATCAAGCGCCGTTTCTTACACGGATGTCTTGCAATCGGGCAAAAACGAACTTACCATTATAGACGAGAGCGAAGAAGGCCTTTTTAACGAGTAGATGAGTGTCAAAGACGACCAGCTTGGCGCTGGTCGGTATTAGGTCGTAGCATTTGTGAAACTTGAAGAACTTGACGAAGATCTGCGACTCGTCCTCCTCTGAAAGCCCAAACAGTTCGCAGTAGAGAAGAGCTTTCTGATTTCGGCGAAGCATTTTCGCATGAAAATCTCGGCGGTGCGGCTGTTAAAACTTATATACGCGATGAACTTCGTATCAAACGCACATAATTTATGTTATCCCGACGCTCGCATTACACGCAAATGTTTAATTAATAACCGACAAGTTGTCCGTCACTAACAAGTTGAGAGTTTCACAGCAATTACGAGATATGAGCACATTTGAGGAAACAGCGTCGTCACTCGGTGGTTTTTCTCTTTCCACGATTTTTATATTTAAAATCGAGTAATTAATAATAGCTGTTTAATCACTGGCGGACGAAGTTATTATTTTTCTATATTTTATATTTAACATTGTAAGTTAGAGAACCACCACGATTTTTATAGCAAAACCACTTTTGTCAGGTAATGTTCATTTGGAGCAAATGCCAATTCCGCTGAAATTCTTTTAATACGCATTTTCCTTTGATAATATAATGTGGATTTCAATGACCTAATTTGGAGTTCGGGCGGGTTAACGATATTACATAACGCAGTAATGGAACTTGATTGAATAATCGATAAATTGCGATTAAGCATCTCGGAAGCTTGTACATCCGGGGAGAAGCTATATTCGTAAAATATCGTCAATATACTCATACTTTAAAATACACACAATAGATAAAGGACTGCGATATTGTAAACAGATAAGAGACATATTGTTGCCTGGTTTCGCTAGAAGCGATGAGTAACATCACAGGGAAAATAATGATGAAAAATTGCATCAAAAGAACAATAACAGAATTACAGCGATGTATCGCCTCCCATTAGCTACGTGACGTGATTAAAAAAAAAGGAGTTTTCAGTTTCCAAGAATTGAATTGTACGCAAAATGAAGATAAAATAAGCACGTTTAAATCGATATAACTAACAGGAATTAATAACTCGATATTTCAATTACCGAGAAAAGAATCGAGAGAAGAAGGAAACTAATCGGGCTAGGGCGTAGTTCTTTTTTTATACGCTATCAAGGAAAGCATGTCGAGAAATTGTAAAATCTATACAATTAACAGGAATTAATAACTCGGTGTTTCAATTACCGAGAAGAGAATCGAGAGAAGAAGGAAACTATTCGAGTTAGGGCGTAGTTCTTTTTTATACGTCATCAAGGGAACGGTATCGAGAAAAACTGTGAACGAGATACTTGGGCGCGACAACAACGACGGGTTTCACATTTACACAGCGGTCACTCGATTCTTTCGGGGATTGCGCAGATGTTGGCGTCCGCGATCTGGCCGTTAGACAGACCAGGGAACACGACTACGGCACGACTGATCGGAGGCGAAGAAGAACGCGGCGGAGTCACGAAGCTGGCGGCTCGAGCGAGTTGAAAGTGCCCATCGGGTTTGCATGTGTTTATGTGTCGTTGCATGTATGTGCATCCGGTGCATGGAACAAATGCACCAACCGCTAGAAACCACGCGGCCTCTCTTTCCCGTAGCGCGGGGATTGCACAACGCGCGCATACGAAGGTGTGGAAAGATCGTATTGCCGAGTTGATCCGTCGGGAAATCATACTGCGCGTCTCCTACTATACTTTCCGTCAAGTGTATCCCACTCGCTTTCGTTATGAGAAACGCTCCGATAGAGTAGGACGCCTGTCACCACAGCGAAGTCGATCGAATCCCTGACCTAGAACTGAGATACAATATTGACATTCGTTTCCGCGACTGGTGATCTTGACCGAACGATTCGGTTGATTAAAATTGACTTGAAAAAAGTGGAACGCAAGAGAGCGACGTAACACTTAATCGATTACGTTTCGTAAACATAGTATTCCCGTCCCGGCGCGGCGCTCTCGACAACTCGCTAACGATCGCGTTTTACGTCGCGGTCTACCTTTGGACAGGATCCAAGCGAGCTCGTCCTCGAGGGGCGGATTCTCCACCTCGAATTCCTTGATGAGATCCTTCGAGTACACGGGATCATCGTCCTGGCTCCACCAGGCCGCCGCGACCTGCCTTAAAGCGACGCGAACACTTTCGGAATCCGAGTAGTAGTGCAAGGCCAGCATTATTTAACATCGCCGGAGTCGGAGCTTCCGATGATGAGTAACACCTGTCCCGCGCGAATCAACGAATCGCCCGGAATACTCGCGACTGACGCATCCTATTTTCCAGGGATTTCGGGACGTTTCCACGACAGTGGCTCTTCATTCCGAAAGAAACGCGTACGCCGCTCAAGTTTACTCATGCTTCAACCTCACAGGTGTAATCGTGACGTCAACTGACACGAAAGGACCTCTGGGGCCTTTTCTTAATTTATCAATTAAATCGTCTCGCGACTCTCGGCGTCCTTTTCACTGATCGTCTCTCCCATCACCAGAATCCCCCTCTCATGACCTCATCGAACGACGAATCTCCGGCCTCTTTGTCACTCTCTCCACGCAGATTTCCCGCGAATCGACAGCCTCGTCGCTGGCGAACACCACGACTGCCCAGTCGATCCATCGTCAACGGCTCGCATCGGCTGTCTCTCTTTCGCTCTCGCGCTGCTTTCTGCTTCCTCCTCGTCGTCCGTCGTCAACCATCGTGCCAAGAATAACCGTCGCTGGTGCGCCTTGCCAAAAGAGCGAAGCCAAGTTTCGCATCGCTTCTTTTCGTCAAAACGTTTATTTTTTTTCTTAAATAATCGAATTTCGCGACGTAAACAACACCTAAAGATGGCCTGATAACAATGCTCATTGTTCTTAGCTGCGTCAACTGAAACGAACAATCTGCTCAATCAATGAGCTGATCACGTATTCCTTTCATATCGAAACCTAACTCGTTACCGCTGCCCTTTTCGAATTTTATTTCCCTTGCGGACCAGCACGTGCCTACACGTGCGCTCACAAACGAGACATTCAATCTTGAGACACAGTCGAGATTTCCAATCGAACGGGTTCGCGTGGATATAGGTAGGAATCGTGCCACGGACCCGTATAATCCGTAGTGTCGACAGAATTCGACGCCGAGAGAGTCCACCGCACGTAATAATAAACTTATCGAACCTAGCGATCTGCCCCATGACCTAGACCTAGATAGGACGAGCATGCCGAGCAGTGCGACGTAGAATGCGAGCGCGCCGTACATACGACGAAGTGGAAGCTGTATCGCGAGTCCCTCCCTCCTCGCTCTTAACGCCAGCTGGGCCTCCCGGGAGCTCATCGATCGCCACCATACTACACTAGGACACGTCGGAAGACCTAGTACCACGATTTCGAAGGGGAAACCCATACGAGGCTCGGGAAACACGTGGAGAGTTTCCGCTCGCTTATACATCGCAACGTGGGTCGCCTCTCTTTCATTAAAACGCAAACGCTCCCTATTCAACATTCGATCTTAATCGAGTTGTCAATGATGGCATTACATCCGATAGATGTGGACTTTACGATCGTATTATGATCCTTTAATTAAACTCAAGAAGGGGAACGAGAGATGATAGGAAATACGCGCGCTCCGAAGAACCTCGATAGTTTCTCTCGCAGCGAGAAATTGACTTCTTGAAATCCAAGTAGAGTCTTTGATCGACGTTATATTTATAACAACGTCGAGCGTTTGATACTAAATCGATTCCTCCGATAAAAGGAAATTTCTCTTCTTGGCACGCAGACATCCACGCAGATACACATGGCAGTCTCTATTCACGTAATATTCAACCTTTCAAGATCAATATAATCTGAATTAACGTTTTAATTACGCGCGAATGCGAGGGCCTATAATTTAAGTCGTTTAAGAGCTTGCTCGTTCGGTTGATTAGCATTCAGGTTCGACTATTCGAGTGGATTTTCATCCGGTCGACTGGATCCGGCTTACAAGTTGCGAGTAAAAGCGTTCTAATCTCGTCTCGAGGGATTTCCAAAAGATATATTGATTACGAAAGAAATGAGTGTCGCAAAACAGAACTCACCAAGATCGGACAGTGAGACTTTCTCCAGGAAGGGATCCACCACCGGCAGCTGCAAATTAAAGAAAGAAATTAATCAAGTTAAATGCCGAACGCAGCCGTCGAGATCGTATCGCTATACACATGACGACTATTTATATACGAAAAAAAAGATCTGCTCGTTAAGCACCGAAATTATATTTCCGCTAAAAGTCACAGTGGTTTCTCGAAGCCGATCTCTCTTCCGTAATCTCAAACAGAGCGTAAAAAGACTCGCGTGGCGAAGCTAACATTTTTTTTCACGTTCTTTTGGGAAGCTCTTTCAGTCGCGGAGAAATCCATCATTCCTCTCCTTCTTTCGTCTCGCTTTTTCGAGGATTTACGGAGCATTTGCGGAGCACTTATGGCAGATTATGGAGGCTTAGAGAGATCTTGGCCGCGAGAAGAAAAAGGAGAAGGAAATACCAGGGTCCGTTTCAGCAGGGACCTCGGGCTGAAAGTGTGCCGCCTCTTGATCCTCGTGTACCAGCTCGTGAGGACTCCGGAGCTCGTGGCCTGCGCCACGTCCGAGCTCTTGGCGATACTTCCGGTCGGCTCGCTCGTTTGACGTCGGAACAACATCTCGCGGGTCGATTTAAAAAACGCGGCTATTCCAAACGAACCCGTCCGCTCCTCAAGGACTCCTACGGGAGGGAATCTCTCCGCGTCTCGACGCGGAGACTCGCTGCGTACGGCGTTCAAAGTCTATCGATCACAGCTCGATCCACGTATATCCCCATCCTCGACCTCGACCTCGAACCTCGTCCTTGCCCCCCGTCGTCGTCGCGCGTCCTTCCGGTCCGAGATCCCCGAGATCCGAGAGCGGCCGCGAAACTTCGACGACGATCGAGCCGCGACTCAACGCAGCTCGCGGCTGCTGGATCTCGCGTGTACGCGACGGTGTTTACGTCGTCGCGACGACGAGCGAAGGCACGGCGTTAACACGTCCTCGCTTAACACCTCCGCCGGTGTTACCCGCGAGCGCGCTGTCCGGGATATTTTCGACGGTGGCATAACTCTTTCGCGCCGGCCGCGGCGGCGAAGACGGCGACGGCGGCTGCAGGATGGAGCGGGCGTGCCGGCTAATTGCGCTGCAAGCCTGCCAAGAATTCGCGACTCTGTCAACAGACCGAGGCTCCCGATAGTGCGCGGCAAACGCGTATGCCGTGCACACGACCGGAGTCGGGATGACGTAACGCAATTTAGCGTTAATAACACATTCCCACCGAGAGAGATCCGCGCTCTTTTTTTTTCCCCACTTTTCGCGAGCGGATCGATCGAACACCCGAGATGTCTCCGTTCGTCTTCCGCTGTCTCGGTCGACGACGGAGACTCGAGGGGGATTAATCTCGCGCGCGCTGCGATTTATTAAACGGGATATATCGCGCTCGCGCGCGCGTGTGAGAAGAGAGGAGACGATGAAAGAAATTTACGAGGATCTATATCTACGTGTTGTCCGCCGCAAGGACACTACCGGGTTTTAAATTGCCGGCAGGGTTGACAGCATCGCGCGGCCCACGCGATTTTATTAAACGCCACGCGAGTATCTCGAGGTAAAATGACGATGGCGACGGGGTGCGGATTCGTTGTGGATCACCGGCTCGAGAGAGAGAGACCCCCGCTTTTTTTTTCCTCCCCGTGGCTGCAGGGTCGTCTTTTTTCAACTTTGTACGACCGGGCTTATTCGATCCGCGCCAAGAATAGTAGAACGATAGATAGCGCGACACACGTAACAAGCGTAATAAACAAACGTGCGATAAAGGAGGCGCCAAGCACCTCTCTCTTTCCCTCTCTCTTTCTCTTTCTCTCTCTTCACGCGAGCTATATTTATTACATCATCAGTAAGATCTGGTGTTTGACCGAGCGAGCGGAGTTAATTCGTAAAAGAGAGAAAAAAGAGAAAGAAACAAAAATCGAAAAACGAAACCGCGTGAAACCGATTCGCGTGCCTGAGCACGAATCACGGAACTTTTCGGAGTGGATTAGGAATCGTTTAGTTATCTCCTAGATTTCTGTTGTGTTTTCTAGAGAAAATGGAACCGCGTCCTGGTCGAATTTAAAAAATACCGTCGAATTTAAAAAACTTTCCGCGGTTCCCAGCGGGAATTTAGCCGAAAGTGACCAGCGGACCGCGCGGATTCGATTTTTTCCTCTCTCTTTTGCCCTTTTTCCTCGTCGTCGGTCACTCGAGATTAATTCAACGGCGCGGTCTCCGGCCTCGGCGAGCGAGGAACAACGAGAGAAACAGCCGGCGGGGCTCTTCACCGACGTGGCTTGTTATCGTTATGGGCGTGTAACGGAATTTTTTTGCAATAACGAGCGTAGGCGCGAACGCGCGCGCGCGACGAAGTTTCGATACACGCGGGACGTCCGCAAGGCCGCCGCGGGAGATAAAAAAGTACTCGCGTGCGTCACGCACGCACGCGAGACGGAAGAAGGAGGGGAAGGACCAACAACGAGCGCGGACAACTCTCGATGCGGCAACTTGTTGACGCGGCTCTCGTCTTCTCGCGGGGGCGGAAACCGCGGCGACGTCGCTCGCGCGAGTGGCGTCCGGATTCTTCCGCAAAACGCGACGCGCAGCGGTTTGGGCACGCGATTTATGTAAATACGGACGCCCACGCGAGAATTCTGCGAGATTTCCGCGAGAATTTCACGAGAATTCGTGCGTCGTCGCGATCGCCAAGAAACGACGAAAAGAAGCCAAGAAATTCGGATGTTTACGAGATCCTCTACGCGGATTATCGAAACCTTTCCGTCCCCCGTGCACGATCCGCGAGATACGCTCGCTAAATATTATTTCGGTGAAGCGTTCTCTCTCCCTCCCGCGTCGATAAAGATTACGCGCGCCGAGCCCAAGACGCAAAGATTCGTTATCTGAAACGCAGGCCGAACGGATAGGGATCGCCGCGTGTATACATTTAAAACGCGCGTTTGCTCGCCAGATGTGGGCGAAGGGTCGAATTACTTGAGATTTAGGAGGCGAATGCGGGCGTCAATTATCTCCGAGCGCGCGCGCGCGAGGACAAGCTCTCCGTTTGTTTCTCGCGCGTTGGGAAACGGCGTCCAATTATTCCGGGACTCCGTTCGACCAGGTTCGCGGGTAAACGGGGGGGCCGCGGCATATCTAAATATAAATTCCGAATCGCAATTGTTTGCAAACAGTCCGACCCCGCGCCGGCTATCCGTGGACCGCGCGGGGATACCGCGATTACTCTCTCTCTCTCTTCGCGCACCGGGACGATCTCTCGATGCCTCTCATCGTTAAATATACACGCGCGCACGTCGATCAAGGGCGCGAAGAGACGCGACGGAGTCGCGTCCCGCGATAATTATGACGCAATAAAAGCTCCTTGTTCCGCGTGCGACACGGAAAACCAGTTTTTCCCACTCCTCGCGGCGCGGATGAGAGTCGAGAGACTCCGGGGACGAAGCGTCGTAAAAGCCAGCGACCACGCCGGTTATCTCGACTGTTTTCTGACAATCGCGCCGCCCCTCCGTCGCACCCGCCTGGCCGTGAAAGTGGGTGCGAGGGTACGCGGGTCAGGGTCAGCGCGAAGGGACGAACCATTCCGAAACGGAGCGCGGCGCGTCCGCGCTAATCGCTGCGCTCCACGCGCGCACACGTTATTTTTCCTAGCAACAAGTGTTCGCGCCGCGTTGCTCGTCGACCCGAGGGGATCCGCCGGAGATATCGAACTACGTCGTTGCATCGCTCCGAAAAGTCCCTCCTGTCCGAAATCCCGAGAGCGACGGACTCCGCAACGTGGATACTGACCCGTGGACAGTCGGCGGTCGCGCGGAACTCGTCGCGCGGAGAATTTGTCGAAAAGTTTGCGTTTCCCGTCCGAGGCACGCGACGCGACAGGCACACACGTTCACGCCCGCTCGGAGATAGCAATTAATCGGTCGCACCCCAGAAACGCGCGGCGTTAATCGAGCGTTATCGGCGCTATCGGCGCCGCGAGAGAACCGACCGATTTTCTCGGACACGCACTCTCCCGTCCTCTCTCTTTCTCTCTCTCCTTCCCTCCCTCTCACGCCCGCGAGAGAGAGAGAAAGAGGGAACTCTCGGAAAAATTTCACCAAGACGGAAGAGCTATCGGCGCCGAGGTGACGGGCGCGAAATTGGACCGACTAGACTCCCCGACGACGGACGTGGTTGACGTTCGTCGTCCTCGATAACGGTAACCGGCGAAGCCGATCGCGAGATCCCGCGTCCGGTCGGAGTCGGCGAGGAATCCTCGAAGGGGAGAGGCGCGGAGGCGCGAGATCGCGGAACTTGACGGCCGTCTTCGACTTCCCCGACGCCAGCTCGGTAGCTCGTGCTCAACTGGATCACACCGTCCAGGCCGGCGCCCGACGACGGCCTCGCGACACACGTTGTGTGTATGAAATTTACGGCGCATCGCTTATGTGCGCGTCGCGCCGCGCCGCGCGGACGCGGACGCGAGACGCCTCCTCGGGCGCCGTCGTCGTCGCGACCGGAGAGCGATTCATTAAATTCGCCGCGCGTTATCCCGGATTTTAAGTACCACCTCGTGGGCCGGGGCGGGCGGGAAGGGAGCGTCTCCTCGGAGACGAAGTTTCCCGCGGGACGCCGAGTCCGCGACGTTCGAGCGCGCGTCTCTGTCGCGGCAGCCATCGAGATAAGGAGACGTCGATAAGCGGTCAAATATGTGCTTAGCGCGTGCAACGGGAAGGTAAATGTAAACGGAAGAAACGAGGAGGGAGAGAGAGAACTCGTGGCTTCGTGAAATAACATCGCGTCCGGCAGCGGGGAGATGCTTCTTTTTTTATTTACGACCGGTTACGAGAGAGAATAAACGTGTGCTGGATATGTGATATCTATCCCGCGAACGATATTACTCCTCTCTATCGGGGATAATCTTGATAGAGATGTTACGCGAGAGAGAATCTTCCTCGGAATGTCGATTATGTGCGTAATCTACGTTGCAGATATTACGAGATACCGTTCAATCGCGCCAGAATTGTCGGGGGCTCCTCGAGGGATAGATAAGGCCGGAGAGATACCGAGGGAGAAGCAACGAGTGTGTGCCGTGGATAAATTACTAACGCGCGGCAAATTTATCGCAGCGCTCCGGTTTATCGTCGGCAGCGGGTTCCCTTATCGACGCCACCGAATCTCACAATGGGACTTTTGTCTCGGTAAGGCAGGTCGCGAACCGACATTGCAAACTTGGGATATATTTATAGCACTGCGACTTTTAGCGCAAATATAATAATGTACCAATTCGAACAGCCGCTTCGCGATCGATTGGCGACAAGGGGGGCGGTCAACTTACCCCTCGCGCATCCCTGAAGAGTATGGCAGCGTGAACCGGATCCAGGCAAGCGTCGGATGCTCGGTGAGGTATCGCGGGTGTCCCGAGGGATAATCTCCGTGCCGTAGGATCCAATGAACTTCTTCTGTGCGCGCCTGAAACAAACGGATTGTACGTAGTCGATTGACGATGGAAACGAATTTTGAGGAAAGATAACAGGAAAGATAACAAAAATGTTGCAGACGCATCGTATGTGCCAACAAATAGGGGTCTTCAGTCGATTCTTCACTCTAATCGTGATTGATATATAAATATATGTAAGTTTTGAGAAAATAGGATTTAGGGCCGGTTGTTCCAACCTGTTGGTAAGCTACCTAATTGTTAAATCATATATGTCTAAAGTAAAGGATAAACAAAGACATATATGATTTAACTATTAGGTAGTTTACCAAGAGGTTGGAACAACCGGCCCTTAAGGACGTTCTCTCGTCCTTATACTAGAGAAAATCGATTTTCTTAGGATTTCCTTGAAACTGTGAATATACGTTAATTTAGGTGTGCTTTATGCGTGGTATAAATTTCAGTACCTCTTCCGGTATAAAAAAAAAAGATACCAAGCCTCAAAGTTACAAAAAAAATTTTTTTAATTTAATTTTTTTTAGTTTTGGCATTTTTTCCTTATAGAACTCGACGAGAGGAGCAACTTTGGTCCTCTTGGCCAACCTCGTATCTCTTACCGTTTGGCCTGGAAAACCTTTTCATTAGTAAAAGTTGAAACTTTGAGGCTCAGTATCTTGATTTTTTATACCGGAAGAGATCTAAATTAACGTATATTCACAGTTTCAAGAAAATCCTAAGAAAATCGATTTTCTCTAGTATAAGGACGAGAGAACGTCCTTAAAGTTTATTATTTCTATGAAAATTTCCAATAAGATTTTCCAAACATTTATATATTTTATTTATATTTTAGGAGCACTAATGGACACAGAGATTCTTTACCGTTATACGATTTAAGCTCCTGTTATATATTGGAAAAAGTATTAATACCACTTTGACAAAAAGTATTGATGCCACTTTAGCTGGGGATACGATTCTTTACCTCTGAAGTACAGACATATTGAATCGCAGAAACCAAAGCGGAAATATATATATTTATTTATTGCCTTTTGCCCTGAGTTCCGTAAAGCGGATTTATCTATAGCATACATAACGTTTACTATAGAAAATGCGCGGGTTGGTTTCAGCGATTTAATCGTCACTGCGTCGGACTTTTACAATATAAAAGAATATTTTAAAATAGAGATATTTGTCTTTTTAAATATAATTTTCAAAAATAAAACTTATCCCCATCTCCCAATCATCACAAAGACTTTAAAATGTGGCTTTCTTAGCGAAAAAAGGTTGGAAATCTTTAAGCTAGAGCCATCGAAAAGCGAATGTTTTACTTCTTTACTTATTCGAACTAACAAAATATGCGAAAACGTAAAATATTCACCCTCCAACGAACTCACTTTAATATTTTTAGATGCAAATTGATGAGAAGAGGAGCAATCTGTGAAAAAAAAAATATATTATCTGTAAAAATATGTATATAGAAAGGAGAAAAGTAGTTCCCTCGCGAAGTGAAAATATTTGTCCAGCATCGCGATGCCCAATCGTATCTGTCAACTTTGATTCGATCGACTCTGATCATATCATTCATATCACACGTGCTTCCATCGTAGTAAACAGTTTTAATGGTCGGCGATTAATCCAATCGCCTTAAGTTTCGGTCGTAACGGTCCGTGTAACATTATAGAGAAATTCATCGACGGACGCACGAAATTTGTCATCGTGATTATTACGTAAAACGTGACTCGTTATTTACATTCCGCCCATGTGGTAACACGACTCGCGTCGTCCGGTGTATCTCTTTACTGGCTGGAAAGGATCTAATATCACAAGCCTCTAATGTCCCGTTTTGAAATTCGTGCGAACTTTCAATCGGGACAATTTCGCGCGATTATTATTCTTCATTCTCTTCTCTTCGGTTCAATTTCTCATAACCCGCCGAAGAAAATGATGTAATAACGTATCTGTTTGTGACGAATGTAAATATAACGTAGTGTACGCCGTAGCGACTATTTAATTTATGTAAATGAGACTTATCTGCATTTTATAAGAAAAAAAAAACAGAAACATCGCTAGAACTGCGTAATCAGTATTTGTCGGGTTACTATCGAGTTCTGCGTAGAAAAAAAAATTTTCCGCGTGATGTTATCGCGTTTTCTCTCAAAGTGTAATCAACCTGAGGGATCGGTGGACTTGCACCTCTTCCCCGTACGTTTGTCAGCGAATGGTCAGTACACTGCAAATCCAAGTGTGTTTTATTTTCACATGTATAAAAATGACACAAAAGCTCTTTTTACATGTTTCTTTATGTGTTAAATTACGTTATCTAACACGTTTAATCGTGTTAAATTAAAAGTTAATACGTTCAATCGTATTAAATGACGTGATTTAAAACAACAAGAAATGAAGAGTGTAATAAGAGTTTTAATTAAAATAACACACTTAGATTTGCAGCCTTGTAAAGCCTTGTGCCCACGATGCTAGAAATCGCTCCGAAATCTCGAACGGAGAAATAATTAACCAATCGCATTGGTCAATTGCCGAATTGTTTAAATGTGATCGGTCAATATTTCACCGTCCGAGATCCCGGGGCGATTTCTAGCATCGTGGGACACGAGGCTTGAGACGCGTCATGCTTCTGATAAACGTTCGATACCGTTCGTCAAGGACTGATGACGATGAACGTCTCGTGAAGTTAGAACGAGATTATTTGACCGCCCCGGAGGGACGATTCGGTCTCGGCCCCGGGGTCTTGGAATTTTGTTTTTCTCTCGGCGAAGGCCGTTTGCGCACGTTTCTACGATTAAATCCGCTTCCTCAGCGCGCGATGTCCGAGCGATATTCGTGCTCTTTATCGGCGGTGTTTATTTCACGGGCGCGTTTCGCGATATACGCTCGCTCAAGAACGAGGCGGATATGTTAGCCAGATCATGCACCGTTCGCGAATAGTTCGAATAGTCGCGACAGATTTCGCGAGAGAAACGTCGACGAGATCGCGTATACCATTTAACAAATTAGTTCGCTAATTGGCAAGTTCCTCAGTTTCCCCCTCCGATCCACGGCCTTGGCAGATGAACGACGACGCGAGTTCACGCGGGTTTTCCGCGAGCGGAAAACTTGTGAAAGATCAATTAACGTTGATCAGCCAAGAAAAACACGTCGCATAGTAAAAACAGTCCTTAGACCGGTATTCATAGTCGGATCTTATTTCAAAATCGTCTTAAGTAATGTCTTATAGCGAATTCGGATGCACCAGTGCACATTAAAGCCGTTGTACACTGATTTAATCTCTAACATTTAAAGTCAAATGCAAATATTTCGACTGATAAAATGCCTAATATATATTTTACTAAATAGTAATAATACAATAAAGAGTACTGAGGATTTCGTGACTCAACTCGTTTATGTTAACAAACACAAACATACACTTTACGTTTGTGTACGACGACTTTAATTTTAATGTGCATTGAATGCGCACTGGTGCGTCCAACCGAATTCGCTATTAATATGCTAATACGATCATTTCATTGGTTGAATATTCAATCTTAAGACTGCCTTTCACCAAACTTAAGACGATCTTAAATATAAGATCTGACTATGAATACCGGCCCTAGAGCAGAACGCGACATTTCGGGAACGTCGATAATTTTCACTTCGTTACCTCGATTTTGAATTCAGTTATTTTGACAGCTTTTGACGGGAAAACAAGCTCTTGGGCCCGATATTCATAGTCGGATATTGTATTTAAGACCGGCTTAAGCACTTAATCTTACCGACTTAATCTTAAGATGTTATGAACAATCACAAAGCCGTATTAGCATCTTAAGACGCTACTTAACCCTATTCACTACAACGTTTTTTCCGCCCCTTTAATCCTCCAACCATGCACTTTCGAGTCCCACGTGTTTTTTATAATGTTATTAATAGCTTTGAAAAATTCCCCAAAAATTATTATAATATCTTTGTACCTTCGACTAAAAATCAATGTAAATAACATTTGGAAAACATTTATTTAAATATTTTTTTACAACATTTATATGTTGACAAATACACATTTCGACTCGTTTTATTTAAAAAATCATTTTTCCGGCGTGAGAAAGATTATCCCACGATAATTTGTTTTTCACAAAAAACGACTGTTATAAACTCGTGGGACACGAAAGGGCATGGTTGGAGTGAATAGGGTTAAAACGGTCTTGGAATAAGAACGGACGGTATAAATACCGGCCCTTGATGCCCCGTCTGAAATACCGACAAAAAAAACTAGTAATGAGCCATTACACGGTCGTCGCAATTGTCATATGCGGTTACATATAACGCGGTCGGGTCAAGGCATGGCTTACCACCAATAATCACCGAGCTTTATGAAGGCCGGGAGCTTGCGGGATGAAGCGAATCGTTGACTGTGCCAGAAATAGAATCGTTTCGAAGATTGCGAGAAAACGCCTAGAGATGTTAATCGGGGGAAGGCGGGAAGAACAAAAAAAGGAATTACGTCGCCGACACGAGAACGTCGAGAAGAAAATGATATAGGTATGCAGCTTTCTTTAAAATTGTACATTTACATTCGGTCGCATCGGATATGTCGACGTTTATTTATATAAAGACGCAAAAAAAAGTCCCCACATCGCGAGATCCAATAAATCCTCTAATTGACATCTCAAGTCCTCGAGTTCTCGCTAAGAATATCCGCTACAATGTGTTTAATATTGCAGTAGCCGATTGATTTACGAGAAGAATAACCAGGCACCGTTCTCCCCGATCTACGTATTAATAATTATTTCGTTAAACAGTGGCCTGTGTACGCATCTCACGTCCGTTCCGTTATTTTACGACGTTCCGCGTACATCGTGTCTAAATTGGCATCGGTATGAAACTGGCGTATACCCGCGGGAGCGTGCGTGTAACAGAAACAATATCGTATACGCGGACGGTCAATTTAGTGACACGCGAGAGAGAAATTTCCGCACGCGCCCGTAACCGATACGAAAACATATTGCGTAACGTAACACAGCCGGAAAATCGAAATGGTACGTCTGCTCAAGAGAGACACGATTATCCACACAATTATCCATTTTATGTTTTTAACCCCTCCCTTTTTTCTAGAATTACCAAAGTCAAAATAACTGATCACTTTTTATCGCGCAATTTATAACGCATTTTTTGACATTTTCCGTGATATTTGTCGTAATATTAAATTGGTCAATTTGCTCCCTTCTTTAAAAGATATATAGATATATATCTAAATAGACATAATTATACGTTAATCATCAGTAGTAACGTGTTAAACGATTACCCACACAATTAGCCATGTTTTTTTCCTTTTTATTTTATAGAATTGCCAAAGTAGTCAAAGCAACTTTAATTATTTTTAATCGCGCAATTTATAACGCATATATCGAGATATTCTGTGAATTTTGTTGCAAAATTAAATTGGTCAATTTATTTGCTCCCTTTTTGGAAAAATATATAACTAGTACCTATATTTAAAAAACCCGCACAGTTATCCATGTTTTTTCCCCTCTTTTTTTATAAAACTACCAAAATAGTCAAAATGGCTTTAATCATTTTTAATCGCGCAATTCATAACACATTTCTTGAATTTTGTTGCAATGTTAAATCGGTCGATTTATTTGCTCTTTTTTTTGAAAAGACACAGATAGTAAGTTTAAATAGTAGAAATAAATATACGTTGATCGTCAATAGTTCTAAGTTGAACGACACGCTACGCAGAAAAAATAACTTATTTCAACGTTTGTGTTGTAGCTCTTTTGTTTTTACATACATCGTTAAAAAAAATTCATGTTAACAATAAAGCGCCGACTACCTCACAATAGTCTCGTAAATGATTTCTGCTGTGTAAAATAATTATATTCGCTCTATGTATGTAGACGCAATACGCCGCGGGGGAACGGCGCGGTATTCACCGACGATCGACGAGGCCGACGTATATAACGCTCGTCGTCGTGGAACTCGGTCGCGTTCGTTCGCGTTACCTTGCCTGAGTATGCTCTCGTAGATCCTGTAGGTGGTCTCGCAATCGGACTCTTGCAGACCACCGATGGGATGATGCCTGGCACCGCCGTCCAGACTCTGGCTCCTGTTCCTGAAGTCCTCCGCGCGTTTCTTCGGGCTCTCGTGGCTCTCGCTCTGGCGCCTGATGTGTCCCAGCCGCCTGCCGAAATGTCGTATCATCTCCTGTATGCTGTGATGATGATGGTGCTGCTGTTGCTGCTGCTTCTCGTGCTCATTGGTCGGGCTGGGCGAGGTTGGTGACGCTTTACCGGTGCTCGCCGCCCGATGATGGATCTGGTGGTAGTGATGATGATGGTGATGCAGGGGATGATGATGAATGTTGCCGTGGACCGTGTGGTACACGGTCTGCTGATGATTGGACGAGTTCGAGCTGTAGGACGAGGAGCCGTAAGACGAAGAGCCGTAAGAATACGCGGAGCTGACGGAGCCGCGGGACAGTCGCTCGTGCAAAAAGAGCCTGCTGTTGTCGTGTTGCTGTTGCTGTTTCTGGTTCAACAGCTCGTGCAGGAACCTCGTGTCCTGATTCCGGATGTCCGACGACGCGGAGGAGGAGGAGATGGTGCTTCTGGTGTCGCCGCCGCCGCTGCCGCCGCCATTGTCGGTGCCGTGATGATGATGGGACAATAGGTGGCTTATTCCGTGCATTTCACGAGACGGACACAATGCGCGTGTATCGCGCGAACAATGACTCTGATATCTCCCGTCGCGGAAGCGGCCGCTTCAAGTTCCGGAGCCGTTCATCGGCGTCGCGGAACGGGGGGGGGGGGGGGGGAACGGAATCTGCGGAAGAACGGCGTCAAGGCGTCAAGTAATTCCCGCGGACGAAGAATGTAACCGCTGTTTGTTACGCGCGGGGACGAGCTGACGAGGGGGGACGACAACATTTCGCCGTTTCATCGATCGTTTTCCTTCAGCGATCCGGGTAAGCGCGTAACACCGACCCCTCGCGTATATCGTCCGTTCACATTACGTACACACCACGATCGTTTCCCCACTTCCGCGTAATGATGTAAGCAAAAATCTCGGCGTTCGACTTGAAGATTTAACAAGCCGCGCCGAGAATGAAGCAGATGAGAGTACTACACGTCGTCCGCGTGATATTTAATCTAAAAACTCCCTCTTTCCGTTCAATAATACTTCATATTTATCACGCGATTGTTTCACGAACAGAAATCGCAAAACTATTTGCATGCTCCATTTCACTTGCGAATAACACCGGGTTGCGAAATGCTTTATATTCGCCGATAGTTTTTATTCGCGCAAATAAAAGGAACGAATCAATTCCGATATCTCTCACGATAAAATTGTTCTATGAAATTATATAAAAAGAAGGAATAATAATATTTCTCTCTTTAATTCGCCGCGTGTTTACTCGCGAAGCTCGATGCTGCGGGGACTCCTGCGTACATGCTAATGATATATCATCTGCGCGTCGAAAATCTGAAGCGGCAACCGTGTATTACGTCAATCGGACCGAGAGAATCTGACAGGAAGAAACAAGAACATCTGATGCCAATTAAATTCTGGCAGAGGGAATAAACTTTTAATAAACTCAGAAAGCATGGAGTTGTCGCGGGTGTTTTCGACGGGCGACATTTAGATCTTTATCGGATGTTCCGTCGCAACATTCCAAAAGTGTGACGTTCGTTAAAAATAGCCCGAGTACAACGATAACGATAATTGTCGTAATAACGCAAATTTTCCCGCAATCTCTCTCTCTCTCTCTCTTTCTATTTCTCAAGTGTGACTCACTCAACGATTATGTCACGGTAATCGCGTTGCGTAAATGCAGCGTCGATACACAACAAAGAAGACGTACACGTTCAAGCCCCTGAATTCCCCGAGGAAAAGCCAGATGACACGCGGTCGCCGTACGCCAGAAGAAAATTAGAACTCAGAAGGAAACGTTTATGACACGAGAGAGGCTGATTGCGTGATTAGCGGAAGCAGTCAGTGCCGGCACCAATTATTCAAGAGCCAGGAACGACTCTTTGCCCGCGTATATCACGCGACTGTTATCACCGTTAGTATTCGTTATACCGCTGCCAGCCGTGTCAGCGAGCGTTCCCTCTAGAATTCTATCCCGGCGATACTTAGAGAAACGCTTGGAAAATGTAAAACGTGGCGCATTACGGCAATGCCTCCGATTTCTAGGGCTCGGGTCACCGAAACGGCGAATTTCGAGGTCGAGGGTGAGGAACTAGGTCGTATCGATCCGCAGGCCAGCTCCCCCCAGCCCCAGCTGTCGAGAGACGTACAAAGAAATTGTAGCCTCGAATGAGAGCGCGGTGTATCGACAGCGGAGTCCCGAGTCCAATTAGAACGGAAATTCGCGAGCTGATAAAAAGGACGCGCAGCGCGCGATCGGTTCCGCGCTTCGATTGACAAAGTCTCGCGTGCCCGCGGGCGCGTTTGCGTTATAAAAGTGATCGAAAACAAAAAGAAGAAAAAATAGATCTCGGCATCAACGTCGCGCAAAATTGCTGACTCGGCGCACACACACACACGCACGTGTGTAAGGGATACCGTCTCGTTTATCTCGTTAAACGGCGACGTTTAATATCGGGTTTTCGCGGGACGCGCGTAAGCGAAACGACGCGCGGAGCGACGGCGAACGCGAAAGAAATATATTCACGAGCGAGAGAGAATATCGCGAAGCGCCGTGTTGCAACCTTGACGATAGTTCAGTGTGACTTCCTCAAAACCAATACCCCGGTACCCGGGGCACGTGTCTTCGCAGACGCTCACGTACGTGTCGTTTGTATGCAAATGCGATGAGTACGCGATTTGAATCACGAAAAATTTGAAGCTCCGATTAAAAGAGAATTATGTATGTGCCGCGATAAAAATTCACGTTAGGTGCATATCACTCGCACTTTCCTCGAAAACTTTTCCGAGCGTGATAAAACGTTTATTATTACTGACAAAAAAGATCGAGAAGAAACGTCTCTGATATTTCTGACAAACGTCACGGTGACGAAAAGCCGAGAAAAGAACGGATTTAGAGGAGACTCGCTTCCCCGCGGTACGGTTTACACGACCAACATTCAAAATGCAAGACTAATAGCGTTTTTAGGCCTGTTCTTTCCAGCTGAACTTCTGCACGGTTCATATTTCCTCTTTTTCTTTTCACGTTGGAGAGAAAAAGAGAAAAGATGAACCGTGCGAGAAGTTCAGCTGAAAAGAACAGTCCTTTTCACTGGACAGAACTGAGTGCGCAGTGGAAACTTCGTCGAGTTCAGGCGACACTGCCGGAGCGCATTGAAAGCGCGAGTTTTTTTTGCACTCCCAACTAAACACGTCCGTTATTCTCAGTGCCATCTCAGTGGCGGTTTTGTGGCGCATTGTGCCGTTGTATTTGATACCATTTGATACCGAATTCTCGCGCTACAGTGCAAAAACTCGGCGCTATAGACTTCCCAGTGAAACGCCCAGTGAAACACGTTGCCTGCGGCGAGTGCGCACTAGTTCTCCCAGTTAAAAAAAAACGCTATAAGACTGCGTTCGGGGAGCGCGGTATTAGCGCTATTTGCTTATTCTAATCCTTGCTTTACACCTGATGAGCGATAAAGATAGAATGATGCAATAGCGCGCTCCCCGAACGCAGCCTAAGTCCAAATAAAAAATGAAAAGCGAGAGGCTTGGTATCGCGACCGTACTGTACTTCGCGAAGACCTTGAGCTACGGAAGACCGCGGAGCCTATCTGAATATCTCGGGAAAGAAGCGCAGCTAATTCAATTTAGCGGAACACCCGTGAAACTTGAACAACAGATCTCCGTGGGGATTCTTCGCCCGCTCGCTTCGAGTCCTACCGAAAATTAAGGGATAATTAAGGATAATTACTCGTTTACCTTAAATCTTGTTAAGCGAATCGTTCCGATGTATATTTAATACGTAAATAAGTACTGTTAATATCGTTCCAAACAAAA